GTTCAATTTTAGAAAATTCGTTTAGTGAGGTAAAATACAATATTTAGGGGTCCCCCTTGAATTTTTTACAAAATCGATTTTTCCATTTTTTCACACTTTTCTTTTGGAAAATATTTAGTTTCCCTACAGTACAATAATTATTATTTTGATTATTGAACTTGGTTTAGTAGTTAAGTTGTTTATATTTAACCCTTAATGAGTATAGATTTCAAAGCCTTAATTATGTGATTCTGCTTTAATTATATTTAGTAATTATTCAGTAAATATTTTTTAAAAACATCATTTAATTAAAGCATACAAGTGATGAAGTATGAAACAAAGAAAGTATTCATTAAATATTAATCAAGAACATCAACAAAATAAAGCAAAAAAGTCGTGAATTATATTAGAGATGGAAACGAACATATGTAATTTACTCCCTGTTTGTTTGTGGCTTTAAATGCAACATCAACTTGCAACATCGAGGTGCAACATCCACGTGCAACATCGAGGGTATCAATAAAGGCGCCTGGCGAAGCGTGGCTGCTGCCTGCGAAAAAGGCCTCCGATGGAGTCGAGCTAATCTACGGACCAGTAACCAGGAGCAAGTGCTTTCGCCAGGATACAACACACACACACACACACACTAGAGAGAGAGAGAGAGAGAGAGAGAAAGAAGAGGCGGCTGTGCCGAATGTAGAACATGCTGCGTCAAGGCATTTTTGCGGCCAAAGTCGGAAAATCAGAAAGTCGGAAAGTCTGCGCCGAGCAGTGAACGTTGCAAAAACGGGTGACTGAGCGTAACTCAAGCGGCAATGCGGTGGGCTGGGCGGACAGGCGGGACAGGCGGGACAGCCAGGACATTGAGGACGTTCCGGACAGGCAGGACCACAAAAGACTGCCAGGACCGCCAGGACGAGAGCCACCAGAGTAGCAGCAGCAGCATCAACAATAAGCAGCAAGGCATAAGCAACAACGCTGCCAACAACAATAACTAACAAGACCAATAACAACATGAATCCTAAGGGGAGGGGGAAATAAAACTGATGGGGGAGGGGAGGTAAAATTGAGGGGAGGGGGTACAAAAAAACAAAACTGGGGGAAGGAGAGGGGGAGATGATATGACAGGGCGCACAGAAATTCTTTTGAAAACTCTTTCACGGCAATTTTGCCAATCTTTTCTCTTGCCTCCTTTTTTCCCCCTTTGTTTTGCCAAACCCCCAATCCTCTCCTCTTTTTTCCTGATTACTTGTCTGAAACTCCCCAACAGGAGCATCCAATTAAGGGGCGTCCTAAGGATTCAACAAACTAGTAAGTTTCCAATAAAAGCTGGAATCTGCTACTCGAAATTAAAACTGAAAATGCATACGCAAATCTGGTCAAAATGCAGTCATCCCCTGTAATTAAAAAGCCAAACCGTGGTTGTAAAATGATTAAGTCCTAAAAAATGTAATAAAGGTAAACGAAACATTATTGGTCAGAAGCCAATGCAAAAAGTTGCAATTAATTTTAGAAAATGTGCAGAGATGTATTATGTTCACCGTATAGATAGATTCAAATTGCGTACCTTTACCTCCGCCTTTTAATTAAAAGATGAAGAAGCCCTTTTCATTATGCAATCTGGTGAAAGTTGAGTGGAGTTCCAAGGCCGTATTGTTTTTTTTTTCTATCAGCTGTTTAATTTGTTTCCTTTAAAAAATGGTTTTTCAATACCATTTCATTACTTAAATAGGGATTATTTTGTTTATTTACTTGCCTTCTTCTTTTATTTTTTGTTCCGCTTAAGATTTTTTTTTAGAATCTAAATTTAATAAGAAGTGGAAAATATTTCAGTTATTATTTATTTAAAACTAAAACTAAAGCTACAGGAAAAAAAAAAGAATTTTAGTTATATGCTTACTTGCTTATTTTATTTCCTTAAAAATAATATTTTTAAGAAAAAAAAATATTTTATTTACTTTCTTACTTACTTATTTTACTTTTATTTTCCTCTTCATTATTATAAGAGTACTTAGTAGAAGGACTGAAATTTACTTGGTGGCCAAGTTATATTTTAGTGTACAGTGTGCATACACAACTTTTGTGGCCACCCTCGTAAGGCGAGCTTTGCCACTGACCTACTTACCGAAAAACGGCTGACTCGGCGTGGTTCTGCAAAGGCGGAAAAGCGGAAGGCAAAGGAAAACAACCGAAGGGACGGGGCAGGGGAATCAAAAAGGGGGTGGGGGAGGGGGAGCTGGAAAGGAGGGGGCTAAGAGCAAGTCTGTCTGCCGAGAATGAGGAGCACTACGCGGCGTGTTTGATCTGAATGGACGGGAACGTGGACCTGGACTCATCGCAGGCATTTCGTGCGATGCCGAAAGCTGAAAAGTCGCGTCGCAAGGCGACAATAATTGGCGCAAGGTGGCCCAGTCAAGGAAAAACACGCAGCCACACAGACAGACAAACAGACGCGACACACAGACAGATAAACGGACAGACACACAGACAGACAGACAAATAGACAGACAAATAGACAGTGAGACACTTAAGGCGGCTCACCAGGCGGAAGGACGACGGAGGGAAAGGGAAAGGGAGAGAGAAAGGGTCCTGAGTGACAGAGATGACAATCAACAAAAGGACACACTCGCATACACACTCTCAAGCGCACACACTCGCACACACACTGGCACACACACGACTAAAATGACAGGAAGCAGCGACGCCAGCGACGACTGCAACCGAAATCAAAATCAAAATGAGAATCGCAAAATGCAAAATGTAAAACGCCGCAAATTGCTTGTAGGCAACGGAGACAACTACAACAAAAACAGCAGCTAAAACAACTACAACAAAAACAAGGAAGGCGCTGGCGACGGATGGCGAAATGGAAATAGAAGATGAGCGGAAAAGCTCAGCGGTACCAACATGAAAAGCGGTTACCCTAGGCAAAGAATAAAACTACTGCAACGTAGAAGATACAAAATGAATTTAATGATAGTAAAAAAAAATATTGGTAGTTAATAAATGTATTATTTCATTTCATCAAAACATTATTTAGATATTTTTTTGCCAATGTCAATACAACTAAATTAATATAACTGCTTGATTTTTTTTAATTTCGTCATCAAACTAATATTTAAAACCATAGACTTTTTTAAACTTATAAATGTAGGTCATTAAATATTTATTTAAAAGAATTCAAGTCATTTTTTATGCGCTTCTTTAAAATTCTTAATTATGTTTTAAGGAAGTCCCAATATCCTAACTTTATCTGTCATTTCTTTGAAACACGTGAACTCCATTTTTGACTTAATTTTTGTTCCTCCTTTGTTGGCCAAAAGGATGCCTTGAACCACAGAAACCGGAAGCCGGGAAACGCCAAGCAGCAGCGAGGTGGCAAGGACACACACACATTAGCATAAAGATTAACTTTTACATTAATATCAATTATATTCCCGATTTTAACATACGTGTGCTTATTACCATCTCATTGAATCATCTTAATATTTTGATATTTTTTGTGCCAGTAATTTTTCTTATCATTAGGTGAAAGTAACAAAATCAAAGAAAAACATTTCTTATTGTTTGAATTCAGATTTATCATTTAAATATCATTGTAATTGTTTATATTTTTAATGGTTCAAAGAATCTTTTTTGATCCTTTATCTGTCTAAATGATTTTTTAAAAATGCATTATCTTTTAAAAAGCCACAATGTCCCGACTTGATCTACCATCTCTTCCAACCAAGTGAGCTCTATTTATGACTGAATTTTTGCTCTGCCTTTGTTGGCCGAAAGGATGGCTAAAGGGAACAGGAAGGGGAAACTGCAGCGAGGTGGCGCGCACACACATCAAGACACACACACACACTCACACACAGACACACAACCAGTGACAGTGGAGAAAACAGGGTGAAGGACAATGCGTGCATAACGCTTATTGAAATAGTTCTCAAGTGAGTTCGACGCTGGCGTCGCCGTCGTCCTCATCGTCAACGTGGGCTTGCCAAATGGGCCGAAAAGGGTGGCAAAAAAAGAGGGGGGATGACAAAGGGGGGATGGTGGGTCCCTTTCAAAGGCGTGGCGGAGGGGGCAGGGGGCGTGGCACGGCAAAGTGGCCTACTGCTGGCTGTGTGCTAACAAGGAGGCTGCCATTTAAAGCCAGCAACCAGAAGCTGAATCCGAATCCGAATCAGAATCAGAATCACAACGAGAACGAAAACGAAATCGAGAACCCAAACGAGAACCGGTTGAGACAGCTGATATTTGCCAGCCTGCAACTGTCTGCGTATTAGACGACTGTCTCCCGCACTTTCCACTTTCCGCTTTCACTGCCATCAAACCATCTACCCATCTAACCATTTACCATCTACCATCTACCATCTACCACCTACCATTCACCATTCAACATCCAGCATCCAGCATCCACTTTCTTCGCCATCCTTTCGCTATCGGGTATCTGGTATCTGGTATCTGGTATCGCTGGTATATCTGGCATATCTGGCTGCCATTGCCGTGATTGTCAATACGCAATCCGTAATCCGGCGAAGGCTTAGGAAACCGAAAGAAGATAAGCAGCAGCTTACCAGCAGGGCTCTTGCCTTCAGCTGCCAACTTTTTCTGGGTGGCAAGGTGGCAAGGTGGTTGGATGGTTGGGTGGTTCACCTCCCTTTGCAGCTGCTGCGGCCAAACGCCATCTCGATGTGGTATTTATATTTGTTTTGATTTCATGCGCTGCTGACTTGAGCTCCAACCTGCGCCAGATTGTTCAGACCCCGCATCTTCACCCCACTTACATCATAAGAAATACAAAATACAAAAAGAAACGTAACTCAAGTAAGACGCCAGATGCAGCAGTACTCCTGTTGATCAACCTCCTTGCATTTAAACAGGGAAATTATAGCCCAAAAACACATCCCTACTTTTGGTTGAAAGGCAGGGAAATTCGAGCTGTTTCAATCGACTCCTTCAACCGCTTTCAATGCAGATAAAAGGAGGCGCCACGGCAAGTGGCATTCAGTTGCTCGTGAGCAGTCGAACGGCATGGTCGTGTCGCAGCAGCCGAAGGAAAGCCATCAGGGAAATCAGCAGAAGACTTCACTTTGAGAACTGGTCAACCGAATCCGCAAAAACCAGCAGCAACAGATCAACACTGCCAATTCTTCGGTTCTTTTTTTTCCAATTTTTTTTTGATCTTTTTTTTCTGGTTGCTGGAAAGGACTAATCAGTGTGCAAAAAGTTTTAAAGTGACAAAGAACAGTGCTTGTGCTAAGTTAAAAAATAAAAGAAAAAAATGAAATAAAAAGGGAAGCTGAAAAGCAGAAAAGAAAAAAGAGATTTAGAGGCGGTGAAAACTTTTTGGCGCTCTAAAGTAGGCAACCGAAAAGGCCAACTTTTCCGCTACGTAAGTATGCGTTTGTGTGCATTATAGTGTGCGTACGTGTGTGTGTGTGTGTGTGCGAGTGTGTGCGTGAGTGTTCGTGGCTAAGCCATAAGCCTTAAGCCCTTTGCCAAACTGCAACCACTGAACGCATTTAAGTGCAGATTTATGTTTTCCCTCCTCCTCCTCCTCCACAGATCGTGCTTCACCCACCGAGACACTGCCAATTAAAGTTGCCACACAGCAGCTGCAACAGACTCACTGCCAAAACGAAGTAGAAGAAGAGGAGCAAATAAACTCAGAAGCCCAGAGAGAGGGGAGAAATAAATAAAATAAGCGAAGAGCAAGACTTTTAGCCAGCAGCAGCAGCAGCAGCAGCTGAGTTATATTCGCAACAGCGAATGGCGAATAGCGAATAAGTTTCCCGAAGAACTGCCACTGAAACTGCCACAGTCACTGCCACTGCCACAACAAAAATCAAGAAGAAGAAGAAGAAGAAGGAAAGGAAGAAGAAGCAGCAGTGGAGGCAACAACAACGTGTTGCTGCCACAAAAACGCAGCAGCCGCGACGAGAGCGTCATTTTTGCCCTTCGCACGCCTCTGTGGGTAAGTTGACATTTCATTTTCATTTTGAGTGCATTTTTCCCGCCGCGCTCATGTGTGCGTGTGTTGGCAGTGCTGCAAGTGTTGGTGTACGTGTTGTTACTGATAGTGTTATGGTGTTAGTAGCCCTGTGTGTGTTCGCTTGTATTTGTATTTGTATTTGTGTTTGTGTCGGGGTCAGCGCGTTATTACAAGTTATGCCCTGTGCCACAAGCCAGAAGCTCTCGCAACTCGCAGATTCAGATTCAGAATTCAGAATTCAGATTCAACAACAATGGCCATGGGGCAAAATCCGCCCATTTGCTGCTGCCCATCCCCCCATCCAATCCGAACTGGCGGCAAAAGTCACGTTTGGCGAGTGGCAACACAACATTATTTAGGGCCAAAGTCGCGCCAGTTGAAACTGACTAACTTCCGCGCCAGCCAGCTCGGGCTGAAAAGTGTGCGGGTCAAATGTTAAACGGCCATCAGCGGCATCAGCTGGCTGTAGTTAACGGCGGTCCCCGATCCCACGGGAAATATGGCCGAGAATCCCTGAAAATCAACTAGACACGCAGAAAAAGGATTTCAGATTTTGCAAGTAATTGAAAGTTAGAATCTTTTAAAAGAACACAGCTGCTTAATAAAAAAAAAAAAGTTTATTAACCACAATTAAATGCTCTTAAGTTATCAGATGGGATAATTTATTATGAAACACTTATAACAAAAATTAGGGAATCCAGTAAATCTTACATTAATCTAAAATCAGAATGGAAAGCTTTTATAAAATATATTAAATTATAAATACAACATTTTTCGTACTGGATTATGTTCTTTAGTTTATAACAATGCCAAGATGGATAATCTGTATAGAATTATTATAAGTTATACATTTTTTATTTTAATTAATTATTATACAATAATTGATAGTTATAAATTGAAAAACAAAACTGTAACAAGGAAGAAAGCTAGAAATATTAACCATTTAACGCACAAAAATTAATCGTCGCAATAGCGAAATAACTTTAAACGAAATCAAAATATCCAGCATTATTTTTTGGGCTTCGTTTATTTATTTTCTCGAACTTTAAACTTCATGATGTCATGCAAATTTCAGAAGTGCTGATTTATTGGCGAGCTTACTTAACTGAGACTAGATTTTCAGTAGATAGAGCCTTCGCATAAATAATAAAGAGATCTCGGCGAGATCTCAATGGAGCGTATGCCCACTAGTTTCTCCCCGTGGAATCGCATCCTCCGCAGGGGAAAAGGACACTAAGGACACACACTTTGCATGTTTATCTCGCTGTGGGTGGCAGTCCCAGTGGAACAGAAGGGAACCCAGCCAAACCGAAGCGAACTGAATGGCCATCGCCGTTAACCAATTTCGATAACTGCCCAGCGACAACGTCAACTGGTCCTGCCAATTTATGGCCGAAAGTTGCCAGTGTGTTGTGCATACAAATGTAAATTTAAATTGAAATTTAATCGGGCAGCGCAGGCGCCGCTCCCTGCGATAAGTTTTCGATTAAAAACTCGTTTAGCAAAGTCACCAGAAAATCAAAAAAAAAAAAAAAAAAGTGCAGAAAACTCAGAGAGCGTGCGAAGTTTTTTGGGGTGCTGCCTTGGGGTTTTAATTAAAAGCTTAATTGGAGGGGCGAAAAAATTAAATAAAATGATTGCGTAATTAAAAGCAAACAAGGCCGAAAAAAAAATCGCTAGTCGCCAAAAGGTGGACAACAAACAGAAGCTGCAAATGGCAGAGGCAGAGGCAGAATCTGAAGCAGAAAGCTGAAGCTGAAGCTGAAAGAGAAACAGCAGGAGCGACCATGTCCTGCCAGGGAAATTAAAAACTTAATGGTCAGAAAGGACACACATGGGAGGCTGTCGGCCGTTGGCGCTCAACGACTTTGGCCAACAGATGGAACAAGTTTATCGTGTCGTCGCTGCCGAGTGTGTGTGCACATTTAATGGGGGCCGGGAAGGTGATTAGGCAGCCACCTCCCCCTTCCCCTTCGCCCCTTCCCTCTTGCCCCCTTGAACAGATTGGGGCAACTTGGCGAACTTGGCCAACTTTTCCGCTGGGGAACGCACAATGGTGCCAGATTACAGCTAAATAATCGAAGCGAGCAGAAGTCTGATTTCAAATTAACAATGAATATCAATGAGTCGTGGGAGGCAAAGTGTTTCTTAACCACAGAAGAAAAAATATATTTTAATATAAAAATATATATCAATAATAATTAAAAAATCTTTACTATACAATTGTATTCATCATTTTCTGTTTGTTTTAGAAGTTGCTTATTGTAAAATATACAAATGCTAGATCATTTAATTTTAAATTCAATTCAATAAAACAATTGATAATTTCCCGCAAAAATTGAGTTCTTAAAATACAGACTTTACTTGAGAATTTGTTTATTTTATATGAACAAAAACTGTAATTTTCTGAATCAAGTTCCATTTAATGTTTATCTGTTTTTTTCTATTCCCATTTTTTTTGGGACTTTTCCCGTTGAAAAACCCACTGTCCTTGGCTTCTTGGCTTCCGCAGGATCCTGCAAATCTACTTAAACTTTGTCTTGAGTTGATTTCCTTTTACAGTTTGCTTATTTTGTGTTGCTGGAAAAACTTAATTTGCCGCCCGTTCGTCTGTGTGGGTGTCCCTCCACATACGAATGTATGTGTGTGTGCGTGTGTGCGTATCCTGGCTGTCAGGGCTTGTCCTGCAAGCTTGTCACCAGGGCCACATCATTTTGTGTGTAAATTAAAGCCCGAGTTGTCCAGTGGCTCTCGTCGGGAAAATAGAAAAACTGTCCACTCACACACAAACCCACACACGAAAAGGCATATGTTGTTGCACACACACACTTAAACGCACACATGTATGTGTGTGTGTGTGAGGGGGATATTCATCTATGTCGCACATCGTTAAGCGCTGCCAGTTTGACTTAATTTGCGTTAAACTTTTTTGTTAAACATATCATTCGCCTGCCAGGCCCCGTCCGCAAATATGGGGCGGGAAAATATATATCGAAGGGGCTGGAGAGAGGAGTTCTGTGGGAAGGGGGGCAGTCTCCAAAAGAAAATAACCAAAACGTGAAGCGGGAAATGTAAACAAAGGCATTAATCATGCCAGCACACATGCGGCAGCAGACAGGGATAGAGATAGATGGATCGTCGTGGCAAAAAAAAAAAAAAAAGAGGAAAAACCCCTTGCAGGTCCATTAAGCTATGCTTCGGTTTTGCTTTAGCTTTCTCCTTTTCTGGCTTTTCCTTTCCTTTTTTTTTTTTGTCAGTGGGAAGATAAACAGGCCAAGTCACTCTCACATGGCCGTGCAACCACCATGTTTGTTTAAATGACAAACTGCTGTTTGTTAACCGAATAAAATGGAAAAGCCAACTACGAAAATAAAAAATTCCCTAAAAAGCAGGAAGGAGAGTGAAAGATAGATGGGGGGAAGGGGTAAAGCGGAAAGGGAAACGCAAAATGTAAAACAAATCCAAGGCAGAGGGGCGTAACAAGCGATCCGGGCTTCTATTTATTCGCCAGGCAAACTAAACCGCAATAACTGTAAGTGCTCGGCAAACAGCAGTGGCGAAGAGCTCGAAAAACCAAAAACTAACAAGCGACAGTTGACAGTCGACACCCACACACCCACACACCCACACACACACACACACACACCAAAAACAACAATAACAATAATCCACAGCACCGCCCAACTGGTGACACCCAAACGACAACCAACAACAACAAACAACGAAGAGGAAGAACAACCAACAACCTCCAACCAACGAGGCAGTCGTGTGTGTCGGACTGGTCTGGCGAATTATTATGATAATCGCAGGCATAAATTATGCCTGGATTTCAGACGGACCTACAGAATGGTTGGGGAGGTGCTTGGATGTTCTTTATGCAGGTGTACCATCTGTACAGTGAGCACTCACCCGGTGGCAACCGCAAGCCAAACGCCACCCATTTCGAGTTCCTGAGTTCCTCAGTTCCTCAGTTCCCCAGTTGCTCTTGCTTTTGGATGGCTTTTATGTTTTGCCTTGGGGAAATTAAGTTTGTGTCATGTTTGTGTCACCGCAGAAAGCTCTAAGCAAGGTGTTTGTTTTCTTTTTTTTTTCGTTCTTTCTTCTTCAGCTTTACTTGCGAGTGCTTTGCTTTTCTCACGCGCCCGCCACACGGTGCGTATGCGTGATATGCAAATGGCGAGCGAGAAAAAGAAAGAAAGTGCTGCATACTTTCTGGCTGCATTTGCTTCTTGCCACTTTTGCCACAGGCGGACACACAAAGGCATTAAAGCTTAAACCTACACCGACATATTTTTTTCCCCCACTTTCCTATCCCCCCTTCCCCATTCCCTCTTGGTTTTTCACTTTCCCGAGAGCTCGGGGGCAATTTATCAAATATTTTATACGAATTTCTGCTGCCTGTCAACGTTGATTTTAGCGCTTAGCCGGCTGCGTTGGGGGAAAAAAGCGTGGCGTGGCTTGAAGCAAATAAAACACACCTGTTGCCACGGCCCACACGTCAATAAAGTGCGACACTCACACACACTCAGACACACACACACACAAACAAACATACACGTACGCCCTTTGGTGTCCTTTCGCATAATAAAACACACGCATGACGAGCACAAAGTTCGACTGACTGACAGCCAAGTAACATCGTGTAATACTTCTCTCATCTATTCTATTCTATTCTTTTCTCTTTGGTTTCATGTGTGTGCGTGTGTTTCAGGGTGCCACAAAATGCAGCACGATAGGTTTGCAAGAATCGCAACCAACTCTGCCCGGGCGTGTCACCGGCAACGATTTTATGAACCCAATGCCGAAGTACGCTGGCAGCTCTTAGATCTTTAAACAGGCTGAGTGGAGTGAGTATTAGCAGATTCACCACGCAAACCATCAGGTATGTATTTTCCTTCTTTTTTTTCGTTGCTTCTAATAATTTTCAATGCCCCCTCACAAAAATCACAGCTCGATAGAGGCTCCTTTTATGCTCGCATTAAAGGACCTAAACTTATTTACGCTCCGCAATTATTTCCAGCATTTTATTTTTACGTCGCTCTGGCAGTTGCTTTTCAATTTTTCGTTGATTTGTTTGTGCCGCGCGTCGGCAATCAAAGTCCCAATTGTTTTGCCCGCCGCCTCCTTATCGTTTGTGTTTTTTTTGTTGTTTTGTTTGTTTGTGTTGTGTTGCCGCTTTGTTTTTTATCGCAGAAGTGAACGCTTCCGTTTCCGCTAGACGACGCGTCACAGTCGGCTCGGTTTTCCCCTATTTTCCCTGCTCACTCCCCCCTTTTCCCCTCATTCAAATTACATGGCAATCGCAGCAGAGCAACTGGCAATTCATTCACGAGAGCCAAGACTATTTTTACACGCAATTTCTTTGCCTCACTTACACAAATTAAACTCTCGCTCTGCAGCGCAGCGCACCACGGCAGCAGCATGATAACGAGGCTCTACAACACCGAGGAGGACCCCGCCTACTGCTCCTTCATCTGGGGCGGCTCCAATCTGACCGCCACCGCCGCCGAGGTCCTGGCGGCCAATGCCACCTCCATCTTCGGCACTGATTTGCGCGACGACTTCTATCGGGTGAGTGCGTTTCCCCCATTGAAAAGTGCACAGAAAGAAAGGGGAACCTTATTACAGTCACAGTCGAATACGTGAACAGTCTTTAATATCAAATTGCACCCAAAAATTCTTATAAAATTCGTCAAATAAGTCCCTGTTTCACATAATACTATTTAGTTTAAAATTTGTATTTAATAGATAAATAATCGACATTAAATAGACATGTGCACAATAGTCATATTTCGAAATAGTCAATTTAGAAATAATGAACAACAAACTCATGTCAATTGTATGCTAAAATGTTATTAATTATTTGTAATAATACTATTTAGTTAAAATTTTGACTTTTACAACTATTTCGTGTAAATTAGAAACGCACTGGCAGCACTCAACAAGATGATTGTCAGTTTTATGCTGAACAAGTACAAAACAGTTAATAAACATTACTTAGTTTCAATTCGTTTAAATAAGACACCCAATAATAACGCTTTAATATTCAACTATCCACGATTCAAAGATGCTTTTCAAATTTATAAACACTTTATGTTCGATTAAATACTATTTAGTATTAAATTTTACTTTCAATACCATATTTTAAATACCTAAGACTTATTCGGGATCAAATGGCTATAAGAATTTACACAATCTATAGTTTACATTGAACCCTTTCTTATTGGAGCGTTTTTGTGGGGTCTGTTGGTCCTCGCACCTTGGGCCAGTTAGTTGGCCTGGCCTGCGTATCCTTCGTAGGATGCCTGCTGCGCAGAAAAACTGTTGCCTACTTTCGGGCGCCGCGGGAAATGTTTTTCTCAAATGTTTTCCAAGCTGAGCTTCATGGTGCGAGAGGGGTTGAGGAGAATTGCTCATTTCAGGACACAGCAGGTTCAGTTGCATGGCCTCCGTTGCCAAGACAACCAGTTGCCAGTTTCACTTAACTCTTTAAAGTCCGAATAACCCTGGGAAAACAGGACCTGGCTTACAAAAAAAATACTTTATTTTGACTTTGTTATTAAAACTTTTTGTACGAAATGCAGCAGCTCGAATGTGTGGGCCACAACAATGTGGGCCTTAAAAAGCCAGCTTATATTGAAGCCACTTATCAGATTATGCTACAAAAAAAATATATTATATATCCGCAGGACCTTGGGCCTTTCAGCGTATCGCAACTTGTGTACAAGCTTTTATTTCGTGGCACTGTAAACATTTTTTTCCCATCTAGATAATAGCTCGATGGAACAGGTATGCATACCTCTATTGAACTGTGGTAATTAAAAGGGGAAATGGTTTTCGGTTTTTAGGTTACTAGAAAAAGCAGCATACCCTTGGTTTCATTTTTTTATTTTCTGTTTTGTAAGTGAGGGGTACTAAAAGTTAACCTAGCTGGCTGACAGACAGCCGAAAGCCTCTTTGTTCGCAACTCTGGCTCAAGGCGAGCCCTTCGAGAATGCAAAAATAGAAAACAAAAGGCGAGAAAAAGGGTGGCGCCTCGGCACACATGGCAGCCAAAGGAGCAAGGATCTCAGTAATGGGGCCAAGTAAAAAGTGAAGGAGAAAGAAAAAGAGAAATGGGCAAGGGGGAGGGGGGAAAGAGGAAAAAGGGGGAAATGCGTGTGTGCATAAAAAGTCACAAAATAAAAGTGTCAAGTTGACTATTGAATTTTTATCTGCGGCCGCCCATCCAAAAGCCAACAAAAGCGGCGAAGCCACAAAGAGATGATTTACGAGCTGTTCGCTGTTCGCCGTTCACTTTTTCGCCCATTCACACACTTGTTTGCTATCCTTGCAGGATGTGGAGGATCCGCGAACGGAGTCGCTGAGGGAATACTGCTATGGCCTGCTGTTGCCCATCATCTGCGCCATGGGCATTATAGGCAACCTGCTCAACCTGGTGGTTCTCACCAGGCGCAATATGCGTGGCACGGCCTACATTTACATGAGGGGTAAGTAAGCCGCCTTCAACCACACCACCACCACACACCCAACCACCCACTCAATCACCCACTTAAACACACACACACACAGAGAGAAACAGACAGACACACACAGATTACCAAGCCAACGGGAAATTCCTTGTTGCCAAAAGACCAAACCCAATCTTCAATATCCATTTCGGTAAGCAAAATTCCTATTAATTTGCAACCAGATGCAAAAGCTAGTGTTCAAACTATTTCGTACTTTGAGCCCGTTATGCGAATTCTCAAGTCTGCATTTGGCAGCCCAATTGAGCAGTATCCCATTTTCGATTTCAACCAACGCAATTCAACGCAATGCGATGCAATGCAATGCTCGATTTCACTTTAGCATCCCTTGGCCAGAAATGGCGCATTAGTTGGGTGTCCTTCTCTCATTACATTACAACAATTAGTGAACTGCACCAATACCTTGGTTCACTTGCAGGCTGTTTAGCTCTTCAGCCAGAAATTGCACAAATATTTGGGCCTGGTGTGAACAGGACCTTATTCAATTTGCGTAGGGCGAATTCCTTTGAGGCATTTAAGGCAATTATATACAATTATACAATTTATTTTGGTTTAATTAGATGTGTATTTCCTTGCTTAAAAGTAAAATAAGCATCTTAACTCTCCTGCTTGAAAAGCATTACTAATTTATAGTTGGAATGATTAGTAATTATTGAGTTTGACTGGGTTTCGTTGAACAGCACAACTACGTGAAATAATTCCCACAAAAGGCGGCTATATTCACCGAATGGAAATGAAATTTCCACAATTAGCAACTCAATATCCTTCGTCAAACGAAATGTTGCTGTTGATTTGTTGATTATCCTGAAATTCACATTGATATTTTTGTTGAATGTCCATTAAAAATTTTAATTTGGCAGCATTCGACATTCTTGGTATGCAGTGATTAGCACTTTTGCTACCCACACTCTTCCTCTGAATTTAGAAGGATTAAGTTAGCAAAGTAGGCTACAAAATAGGAGCAAGTTGTCCATCAAGCGTCCCTCTAACAATTTCTGTGATTTTTAATTAAAAGTGCAGCATAATCCCATTGTTCCTGGCGTTCCATTCGGAAATGTAAGCCGTCCAACCATCATTTGATTTCGAGGTGCTCCCCTTTTCAGCAGAAAAGACTTTCTGACCATGTTCATTAATTTGGGCTATGATTTGCGATAACCCATATTGGATTTCTGGCCCAGAGACACACTCGTACGTCTTCGCCCACGCACACACGCACACACACACACACACACTGTAAATTTCCCGAGCTTCATCGGCATTCCAATGCTATTCCAATCCAATCCAAACCAATCCATTCCATTCCACTCGCATCCATTCGATGTGGCGGACTGGGAAACTGGGAATTACGCTCGACTCTTGACTGATTGCCAAATTGAGTTTCGCTTTAGAACATATGTATTCCCCATCGCCCGATCCGGGCGGCCATTGTGGCACAGAATTTATTCATTAACCTCGACGCTTTCTGCCCAAATTGAAGCCAAAATGCCAAAATGCCACAATGCGGCTAATGTATGCGTACCGTCGTGTGCCGTTTACCATTCGCCGTTTGCGTGTGCAGCCTCATTGAAAGTTATTTCATTAGATGAGACCGGCTAACCCCGTCCGAAATTTATGCAGAGCCACTAAGCTCGTGCCACGCCCCCATCGCACAGCCTCCCGCCTCCCTTTCGCTGTATTAGACAGCATGTCAACTCTATTAGACACTCGTTTGCTTTATGGCGCTTTAATTGATTAATGAGCTCCACTTCTGGGAAACGAGGGGAAAAGCGGGGGAAAGTGAGGGAAAAATAGGGAGTGTAGGGGATGTAAGGGAGGAAAAAGGGGCAACTTTGTCAACGCCGCCACTTGCTGGTAATTTTTTAGCCTCGACTATCACTCATGGGGAACTTCCCCCCGAAAAAGGACACGAACAAGGAAAACAGAAACAGGCGACTCACTTTGCTTCTCGGAGGAAAATTCCACTCAAGCCGAAGCAAAGGATACTCTGGATTTAAATAACGAAACTTGGTTATTGATTCACTACAATACATCCTTTGAAATTTTAAAAAGTGTTTATATACTATCCTCCTTGGCTCATACTCGTAGTTTGATCTTCTGAATTCTTTGGATCTGGTTATAAATTAGTAGTCTCCTATTTCTTGAAATTTAATAAGGAACCCCAACTTACTATATTAATATTCCAAATCGAATGTTTTTACTAAATTCCAAATGTTCTTCTTTTTATCTTTAATTATTCATGAGCAATACGCTAAATTTGTTTGTTAAACAAAATCAAATTTTTTTAATCTGTTTCAATATTCATATTTTTTTTTAATAATCAATTAAAAAGAAAAAAATATATAGCAAGTGATACTCCTTATACAAAAAAATCTGAAGTTTTAAGCCCCATTTGTACTGTAATAACGCAATCCGATTTTACAGAAAATGATAAAGAGTTATATAGGTAAAGTTTGATGAAATTCAAAACATTGTTATTATGCAAACCAAAGTTTCACTTCCCGTCTGAACTTTTGCTGTGCACACGGCTATCACTTCCGGATCGGGGCAAGATACCTTATGGCCCGTGGCCAATTACCAAGCCGATAACTCGTAGACTTTACGACCTGCCAAGGGCCAAAAGTCTTTGGCCGATCTGACTGGAATTTAAGTGCCCCATAAAAGGGTATATTGAAAGGAAGAGCCACTGCCAAAATGCGAAAGTAAAATGTAAAATGCTTCAAATGTAATACGCATGCTATGGCAGCATAATTGATTGCCCTTTCAACTGCCTTCTGGCCAAAAAAAAAAAGAACTCAAAAAATGGTAGAAAGCAGAGCAAAGCGGGGAAAGAGTGGAGAGTGGAGAAAGCCAGGAGGAGAAATGCAAAGCGACTGAAATATCACCAGCCTTCTGCGCTGCTCAAGTGGCAGTAAATAAAAGTTGCGAGTTGAAGCTGCGGCGGCATGAGTAATAATGGCCGAAATCAGAGCAGAAAGCCAGGAACTGAACTGAACCAAACCAAACCCAGCCAAGCCACCCAACTCGTTTTATTAAAATAACAAAAATATTTTGCTGCTCGCAGCCCTTTTTACGATGCCGAACCAACTGGCGGAGGCCCATTTGTTATTTGGCGGTCATTGCCACCAAAATGCTATCCTTTGTGAGCCTGTGTGTGTGTGTGTGTGTGTGTATTGTATGTACGAGTATTTCGACCAGAGTTATGCAGTTGCGGATGGCCAAAAATGCTTTATTGCCGACTGGGGAATGCCGAAAAGTGGCCGTCGGAAACCCCAGGGAGATCCCCGATCTCAGCCGTTTAAATACAGATCTCCCTTAAAGCACTCCATCACTTCCAGTTCAACAAAAGCCGGTCCTCGATGAGAAATTCCAGAGGCGAGAAGGCGAAAGCAAACAAGCAAACAAACATGAGAGATTCGCATTGATGGCAGGACACTTGTCAGGCTTGGACGCAAACAAAACTGACGTTCATATTGATGTGTCCCTGTACCCAATTAGATGCCCATCATTATGAGTGCCGGCTCTCCAATGGAACCCCTATTCCGCACATCCTTTCCTTTCCTTTCCTTTCGTTTCCTTTCGTTTTGGGGAAGTCATATATCGAACATTAGGCTCTGTGTGCACAGCAATTTGGCGGGAAGCGGCGGCAGGACGCACATGATATTAGTAATAATGTAATTATATGGTCATAAACAAAATAATAAATCAATAAACAACACACACACACACGCACTCACGCAGGCACACGAGTGAAAGTTATCCCAAAAAAAAAGAGAATGGAGAAAGGAGAAAGGAGAAAGGAGAAGAAGAAAAGAAGAAAAGAGAAGGCAACGCAAAGGATGTTGAGAAAGGGGAACCGGAAAGGAAAGCCATTCATTTGGCCAGCGAGCCGAGTGCCGTCGTCTGCGTGTGTGTGCGTGTCCATGTGTGTGTGTGTGTGAGTCTGAGTCTGCAAGTGTTTGAGTGTGTGTGTGCGAGGCAGGACTTCCTGTTGCCACATGCACGGAAACGGCGCCATAATTATGCCATAAAAACCAGCCATAAAGGACATTTTTATAGATTTGCCCGAGTTAATCCCTTTGTTGTTTCTACCCGCCCCTCTCCACCATTTCTTCCCGCAATTCTTCCCGCCCACTTCTTCCCCCTTCTGTCCCCCCCATCTTAATGTCCTTCTTCGCAGCTTACTCCACCGCCGCCCTCCTGGCCATCGTGTTCGCCATCCCCTTCGGCATCCGCATGCTGGTCCACAAGGATCGGGGCCAGTGGGAGGAGTTCGGACCCGCCTTCTACACCGCCCACTTGGAGCTTTACTTGGGCAACGGATGTCTGGGTGAGTCTCGGATTTGGGATTGGCCACGGGGAGAGCTTTCCACCCCGAAGCTCTTCCGCATGGTTTAAAGCTTGGATGGTAGTACCTCCTGATTCAGATAAGAGCAACAATTCCATTCTAAGACATTGTAACTAGTGTAACTATAATAAAATATAGCTTTATGAGTGTATATATATTCGCAATATTCAATATCGTGTCATAGTTCCGTGTTGTTTCCATTTCCTATTATTGATAACATACGTATCGCATATATCATGGTGCATTGTCATCGTATTTTCTGTCATAAATATAGTTTCCTCTTATTTTATTGATACATTTTTATCACATATATGATTGATTTACACATATAATAGATGCTTTGTCCACTAAGCATTGTTTTCTGTCTATATTATTTGTAACATATATTTGACACCTCATGGTGCATAGTTATAGTGCATATACATCATATATTTTCAATGTATTAAATATCGTGCCATAGTATCGTTTTGTTTTCTATTATGTTTTATATTATATTAAGGTGCATTATAATCGTAAATCATCTGTCAAAAAGCTCTTCACTATTGTTACAATGGTTCAACGTGCATTTTTATTATTTTATTTAATTGACGTATTAATATTGTACAGTTGCAGTGGTACTAAGATATAAGTATGTGGTTCAATGATATGTATATAAATATAAATAATATATATATATAAATACATACATATTTATACAAGATCTAATGTTATGGAAATTATCTGGTAACTTAATAATTTTGTTTTGTAAAATAACTAATAATACGTATTTATAAATTTAGTTTTTGCTTAATACTTTTATTTGATTACTTTGTTGATATACTTTTGTCAAATATTTGCAATATTTTTTTAGTGCATTTTTATCTATTCATTTATGTTTGCCACTTAATAACTGTTGTAAATATTAGATACACATATGTTTGCCCCGTTGACGTGGATAGAATTACAGAACCGTCTGGCTTTTTGTAATGAAAGACCAATAGTGCTGGCTCACCCGACTTGAATGCTAATCAACAGCTAATCCATTAACCCTTTTTCCGTGAATCTAGGCGTCGGTGTGATGATGTTGTTGGTGCTGACCATCGAACGCTACGTGTCCGTCTGTCATCCTGGATTCGTTCGTCCGGTGATGGGACCTCCTGGGTAAGAAGAATCAAACTTTCTCAATCAAACATACTTTACTGGGAAAACCCCCCGCAGAGTTGTGGTTTTTCTCACCTGCTTGGCCACGGTGATTGTCTATTTGCCGAGCATCTTTCGAGGGGAATTGATTAAGTGCGTGCTGCACGCAAGCGATGTTTACGTGTATCTGAGACGGGATAATACGATCTACCAGCAGACCATATTCTATCGGGTCTACAAGATAATGCTGGAGGTGATCTTTAAGCTGGTGCCGACCTTGGTGATCGGTTTCCTCAACATGCGCATCATGATGGTTTATCGAAGGACTTGTGAGCGACGCAGGCAGATGGTTTTGAGCCGACCCCATGCACATGGATATTTGAAGGACGACGATCCAAGGAAGTTTGCCGAAGAGCGGCGACTGTTTTTGCTGCTTGGGAGCACTTCAATTCTGTTCCTCGTCTGCGTATCGCCAATGGCCATTCTCCACATGACGATCGCCTCGGAGGTCTATCCGAGCTTCCCCTTCCAGGTGTTCCGTGCCAGCGCCAATCTGCTGGAGCTCATCAACTACTCGCTGACGTTCTACATCTACTGTTTGTTTAGCGAGGACTTCCGCAATACGTTGGTGCGCACGATCAAGTGGCCCTGGCTGAAGGGCAAGTTCTGCCATCAGGTTGAGCACGAGGTGAGTGCCAGTCCGCCGGCAACAGCCGGAACCGTTGCCGTGGCCGGAACTGGAACCGGAGCTGGACACGTTTCTTATTACCATCCGGCAATACCGTCGCTGACTTTCACACCCGCAGAACCCGAATACCGCCCCCCGGTATGCCAATGGCCTACTTCACTAAGTTGGCAAAGGGACAACACAAACATCACATAACGACCACCTCGGGCCTGGGACGATCGAGTAGCATTTAGCCAGCCCGACATTCCGATAACCGACTATCGAAATCATCGAAACCACCACCCGTCCGCTACTCGACATCCGAAAATCCGAGCTCCGTGAAACCCCAAAATCCCAAGACCCGAAATTGGCAGAACCCCAGCGTAACAACCATCCAATATTCCCCCCCAGGTCGACGAGGTGTGAGACAGACATACCCGCACACACACGTTTTTGCTCGCTCGAGATTCAATGTCCGTTAACTGACGACTTACGATATTAGATAAACGATAAACGATAATTGATAACCAGCGCCGCGCATTGCGTATATAAATGTCTGTGTATGTGTGTGTTCCTGAAGCATATTTAGATATATGTGGATACAATGTTTTTTTTGTAGATCTAGGCTTAGGGATAAATCAAGTTAATCGAAAGTGTATCAACGTCACTGTGTAACGTTATCTCCATGAAAGTGTCGCATTGTACTTGATTTCAGTGTGCAGAATTTGATTCTAGTCGCTCCATTGGACAGTGTTTTCACAAAAATGCTCTTAACTACAAAAAAATTTTGATTTGATCAGTTTTTAGGCCTAAAAATATTTGAAAGTGCTCTTGGTCAATTCTTTAATGAAACACTAAAATATTTGTAATGAAATAAATTGGCTTTGGATGTAATTGCAAATTTTTAATCTATGTTTTTGTTTTATTTCGACAGCAACTTAGTTAAAAAAAAATTCTTAAACTAAAACCGTAATATATAAAAAATAAATATATTATTTCAAGAGTTCAAACTTTAATTTGGCTGGACTCAGATTTTGGGCACCAAAATCTATGAAGATCTACTAAAGAGTACTAAGATAACAAAATCAAGATCAAATGTTGTTACACAGTGAAATCGGCAAAAAAAAAAAATAAAATAAAACAGCACAGCGACTAACGATAGATACACAACTAAATAAAACTTGATATGATATGATGCTCTTTTTGATGGTTTTCTAAAAATTATTATTTAATGATAACACAGCTTTCAAAGAGAACATTATAGCGTCTACGGTTTATTTTTTGTGCAGGAAAAGAACAAACGAACGAATAAAATCAAAGTTTGGGAGAAGAGTCGCATGATCAAGATACTTAGCCGATACCGAATTGATAATGTCGTAATTGGATTGCTTGTCAGATGATAACGAAAGAGCTCGTATACTCTAGTTTTAGATGAATTTCACAGACAGAAACACAAACAACATAAAGACGACTGACGACTGCCAAAACGACAGAACGGATGGGACGGAAAAACAGCGAGAGAGAAGACGATAAATTACTGACATACAATACTTATATATACACTTACATATATCTAAATGTGAAAGATATTTATGTGACCGACGTATTTATGTATACAAGCGTACGTTTAAGCGAATATATTTATATATGCATATATGTATCTATTGATTATAGCATTTAAGTGCGCAAGCGGAATCCTAATTCCAACCCGGCCCCAAGAATCAGTTAAAGAACTAGCTATAGATCCCGATCTAGATCGAGCTCGGGATCGGCCTGCCATCCTGATGAGCCCTTTCGTCTGACGAAATTGTATTGAATTGTTGCGTGAATTGAATTGAATTGAGATTGAATTGTTAAGTTAATTAATTGTAGTCGCACTACTAATAGTTATACATTTAATTCTAGTTATAATTCGAGGACTTAGTTATCTAGTTATTTAGTGTAATCGAAGCGATTTGAGGTCACCCCGCCCTTGGTTGTCAGTCTGAAAGGGGAAGTCCCCCCTCTCCTCACAAAAAATGCACAATCCCGTGGACTTCGGTTCCATCTGCACACCCCAAAACCCCCCAAAAAACCCCCCTGAAAATCCCCTTGCCCCCCCTTGCAGCACGCGTAGCCAACCTAACTAAATGTGTGTACCTAGTATTAAAACAAAGCAAAGCAACCGAAACTGTACGTGATGTTTATTTAACCTGCGCAACGATAGCGTCAGTAGGATGCTTCGAGAACCCAAGGCAAAGCTCTGGGTTGCATTGCATGAAACTAACATTAAACCAATATCTAAATGTTAACTACCCACGGATATCCTGGCAGTATGTGTAGCGGCTAACCAGTTGGTTGAATCATTCATAATTCACATTGACAGCGGCTTTAAAGCAAATTATCATAAGCAAATTTTAAATAGATATCGAAGCGATACTTTGTATAATGTCCACAACAAGTATTGAAATCCTCCTTGAACATTTCGACCGCAAGATGTTTTTAAACTGTTAAAATCATTATAAATCATAATTCATGAATCATCTATTATTTAATATTTTATTTTTTAAATTTCTTATTTTGTTAATTCTTATAAAAATATTCTTTAGACATTGTTCTTTTAAAATTCACAAGCAATTGGTATCATTTAAACAAATTCAAGTGCCCCTGATTATAGCTAACAGTACAAAACGCCGATGCTTGACGAACTTTTAAGTTGCGAATTATACATAAACATTATTATTTGTTATTACCAGAAATAAGTAATTGGCAAAGAAGAAAATTTCACAAAATATATTTTATGCTCATTTCGGTTTACTAAGTAAATCACCACATGGAACCCAAAATTTATTTCGATATTAAAATTGTTACATTTTTTTTTGACTAGTTATATTTTTTCTCCCTGAAAAGTATTCTATTAAATTAACAAGCAAACAAACAGATTGAAGCAGACCTTTTTTGCCACTCACAAACAATTGGTATTGGTATTTTAGATGAAATGGCAAATTAACGCACTGACATTTTTTTTTAAGGCAGAAATTGGCTTTTTTATTTTTACACAGCTTTTAATGGGCTTTGACACATCTCATTGAAGTTAAACTATTTAAACTAACAATAAACTTGTTAAGTTTTGCACCACATAATTCATTTCGATTTTATAATCTAGGCAAGAAACAGAGAAGAAATTTAGAACATTGATATCAAAAAAATTCAGGCATCTTGAGAATTGTATGAGTCATTTAACTTCGATAAAATTAATTCAAATTAAAAAAAAAATGGCTTTGCAACGAAAAACATGTCTTAGAAAAATGGTGAAAGAATAATTTAATAGTTAACATATACATACGAATATCGGTTGAAAAAACCTGGTTAGTACGAAATTCTTTGAGGCTCAACATTAGCCGTTACAAATAAGGAAGCATACTCGCCAGGATATCAAAGAATATCCCTGCAATTGGCAGCTACTCAAAGGTGAATAATCACATTGAATGAACTTAGATCTTTTTTGTTTTCGTTTTCCAGAGCTCAGCTCAAAGCCAAGAGAGAAATTAATATTTAGGAATCTAGATGAACGAATTGAGAAAAAAAATAGTTAATAGTCAGGCAACTTGTGGCATTTAGGACACCCGAAATCCGAACATCCGAACAGTCAGCATGAAAGCAAAAGCCAGAATATCCCGAATACAATGATAAATTAGAGCCAGAGCAACAGATCGAGCTAATTCAAATAGAGCAAACAACATCAAGCATAACTTACCAATACTTTCACTCCATCTAAAGTTTTAATCGGTGTCAAAATGCATTACCAAATAAAATTTCTGAAATGTTGCCGCAGACTTTCATTTCGGAAGGTATTTTACAATTTCAACACAGGTATTTCTTGTCCAAAAAAATCTTTATTACTAAATTAAAGTTAACATCGAAAAAAAAAAGTAAATTTATTTATAGAAGTGTGGGAAAATGGAAGAGCAGCGCGATGATCACACAGCAGAAGGAATAATACAGAAAGCATCCTTAAGCCTAACCCTTAATCTAGACTAGTCTCAGTTCCCGGATCTCTCTCTCCGACTTTTTGGGGGGAATCCCCACCGGGGGAAGAGGGGAGTCCCTACCAAGGTCGCCACACCACCAGCCGCTGCTGCACCAGCTCCGCCAGCTGGCGCTGCCTCTGCCGCTTTCTCTCGAAGATCTGGTGGCGAATCTTCAGCAGGATGCTATCACGTGGCGCCGGTCCCATGGAATTGGAGGATGTGGCGGGCGAGGACTGGTGCAGCTGCTCGATGAACTCCAGGTCCATCTCGTGAGGAGGCGGGTTAAAGTGCTCCTTCTCCGGTTCCTGCTCCTGGTCGACATCCTCATCGGCATCATTGTCTTCAGTCAGATTGCACTGATAATGCAGCTTGTTGCGTTGGCGCTGAATAAAGAAATAAAGAGAATTTATTATATTGGTCTTTTAATTATATGTTTCTATTTATTTTCGTCTTGCAAAGCTGAAATACATGTCCTTAAAATATGTGAAACTTCGATTGTCTAAATGCCACAAGCCATGAAAAACTTTTCTTTGACAAAGTAATATTTATATTGTGATTATCATTTTTTTGATTGTCAAATTTAATTTATAAAAAAAATTAATTACTTTTAAGTGCAAAAATATTTTTATTTTCTTTTGGTTTAAAAATAAAGGCGAATTTAGTTAAAATGATCAAATAAATTTTTCTTCTCCCTTTTTAATTTACTTTTTAAGATATCCTTTTATCTTATGAAGACAGACAAATATAATATTTACGAAAAACTACTTTTACTCAAGTAAATCTATTTAAGCGAATTGAAAGTGAGTATTTTCTTCGGAGTGGTTTTAAAGGAAATGTTTCTTACAAATCACTGCTCATGTCCTTCGATAGATAAGTCAACTCACCTTTTTGCGGGCTGCATTCTCGGCGAGAAATCGGCAGAGCTGCTGCAGTTGCTGCTCGGCCAGGTCCTCCTTGATGGGCTGCATGTGATCCCTGTGCTGATCCTGATCCCGATCCCCATTCCGATTCCGATCCCGATCGAGGTGATCCTCGAGGCGACGCTGCTGCTGGCGCTGCTTGATGGCCGCCTGCACCTTGCACCTTGTGGCAGAACTTAAGCTGAGATCCATGCTGCGCTGCTGCTTGAGTATCTTGTAGATGACGCCCATCGATGCGACTGGCTCTGCTGTTGGTCCTGCCTTACTACCGATATTTAAATATATATAGACGGGGATATATCCGATTCGATCGCGTCGAGTTGCGGCAAGAGACTGTCCCGAACCGCTCGCCACTCCCGTCTTTATATGGACTCTCTCCCGTTTGTTTGGAGATCCCGACTCTCCCGATGATTAAAAATAAAACATAACTCGTGGGCCCATGTGTTGCGGGTTGCTTGTTGCTGGTTGCACAGTTGCTGGTTGCACAGTTGCCGGTTGCACATTGCGCGCCAAACTCGAAAACTCCAACTCCGAATCCGATTCCGATTCCGACTTTATGGGACATTGCTCAAGTGGAGTCGGTTCTATTTTCTGCTCTCATTACAATGCCTTTTAGCGGCGCAACACATGTGGCAGCACCAGCGCCGCACAATCGACCCAAAAATAGATGTTCTCTCTCACACAGCTGCAACACTTTCGCTGCACCGACTGTGCAACATGCAACATCCAGCGGCGCATGTGGCCGTCGCGCAGCCAAAGTCCCATTTTCATTTTCCCTTCCATTTCCATATTCATTTCCATTTCCATATTCATCTCCCCGATCTTGCTCATCTACTCCGCCATATCCATTCCATATCCAAATCCCGAACCGAATTTTTCGTGGCGAGAAACCGCATGTTTTGGCGCCTGTTTTCCTTTTGACAGGGTAGCTGGGGTATATCTTTTGTATTTTTTTTAGTTAAGGAAACAATAACTAATAATTAAAGCAGTGTACTTTCATGCTGTAAATATTGGTATTGTACAATTACACAAATTCTTATTTATTAATAATGCATTCTATCAGGAATTAATTAACCCTTTTTGCAAGAGCAAGATTTCCTAAGATGATCTAAGCATAATTGTTAGTATACTTGTTAAATATATATTATTTTTTAGATAATCATTTTAAATTTTGTTATTTCATTTATTTGAGATTACATAACACATTTTTCAGTTACTTCTATGCCACCAAATAATTTATTTACAAAAGAAAGAATTGAGCGACTGGGTAGCCAGTTATTATCTGAAGTTATTTTTCAAAAAAAGGATTCTTTAAAGTCTTTAACTAATTTAAATTGATTATATTAACAGATGATTAAACTAACAGGTTTTATTGATTAGCAACAACGCTTATTATTTTCGGTGAACTTTTCGGTTGTTTCCAACTCTCTGATGATGTAGAGTCTAAATGTAGGGTACTCCAACTTCGGTAATTCCCGAAAAGTGAAGCATAGTGTAGAGCGTCATAATCGTAGTGCCACAAGATGGAATCGTTTCGGGATCGGATCGGATCGGCAATGGAATATGTACTATAAATAGCGCCTGGGAAAAAACACTTTGCAGCGGCCACTCATTTGTGCATCTGTGTGTGTGTATTTATGTGTCTGTATGTGTGTGTGCGTGTCTGTGTCACGGCATGCACTTGAACTCCGCATTCACATGTTGTGTGTGCCATGCATCTCACTCCCTCTCCCTCACGCCCCTTTCCTCTCTCTCCCCCTCTCGCTCGCACCCTGGTACTCGTAGTATCGCATGCCTGGCGTGCCTGCGCCTTGCCCTTTGTATAAATATATATGTTTTGTAAGTCCCTTTGCTGTTTTATTTGGACTTCAAGATGTTTCAGAGTGCACTTCAAGTGCGTTACAATTTGAGTCTATTTTTGGACGCTTGGGAATATCTCGGGAAATAAACCGAGATATTGAAATTTTGGAAGGGAATGAGGGGGAAAAGGGAAAAGGGGGAAGAAAACTACCCAGATAACGGGGATTTTTATAATGTAAATCATTGCCGGCAACCCCATTTGATATCAGTTTCGAGATGGTGCACAATTGAAATATGTTTAATGAGCAACTTTATGGGCGTTGCGGCCCATTGTCCGTGGAATTAGATCCATCGTTGGGGGAAATGGAATGCCTGATTGTCGCACTGATAACGCGCACAGTGGGACTGGTATAAGGAAAACTATAAGGAACTTAAATAAAATAAAAAAAATAAAACAAATGATCTAAGTGTATTATACTTATGTGGTATTTACCTCAAATAACTTGTACTTATTTTTTTCCCCAATTGGAAGAGTATAAATATGGAAAATCATCCAAATATAATTTTGAAATAATATGTTATATATTATCATTGGTTATTTTTAATACCGTTAAACCATTTTATTTTATTTATACATCTTTATTACTTTTATCCCATTGTGCCTCCGAGGATCCCTTTCCGTAAGTCAGATCTGCGCGTGTGCGACTTCCCCTGCCTTTTGTAGCCTGTAGCCGCTTCTTAAGTGTGTCTGTTCTTGGATTTCAGATGGATATATGTGAATGTACGTTGGCCCCATTAGCCGAGCATTGTGCACTAAAACGTCTGTTACAAATGTAATTTCGATACTCCACTTCGGGGGAGGAATTCGAAGCCCTTCACTTGACGCTGATCGGTTGGCTTCACTTGCCTCCTTATCTGTCGTCTGGACTCAGGGGACAACCCTTGGAGTGACAATTAGCTGTTGGTCTGGGAAAACATTTCCCACAACTTCGTTTCAGATTGGGGGATATACTATATATGTATTCCGATCTCCTTAAGCATGTTCGTAGAACCGAAACCGAATCGAAACGAAGCGAACCCAACAAGTGCATATCCCTGGGAGGGTAATAAAAATATATATTATATGTCTCCCTATCTCCCTTCGCTTGTCCCGGGCTAATCGATACTCGATACGATCCATAATTTATGTGAGCTGCCGTCTATTTCTGGACTTCCGCTTTCCTCTTATCAGAATCGTTGGGATTCTTCTAGTTCCACGAAAACTACAAGCTTGGCTTGGCATTCAGGAATCTGATCTGTAATTCCCGTGACCCACTGATTCTGTAATACAGTGTTGCATGCCCAACGCGTCGTCGGGCGCGAAAAGCTGTCAATGTCACCCAGTGGGGTCCCCCAAAGGAGCCCGCCAATTTCCACCGCCCGACGTCCCATCACCACGCACAATTTCCCACGCTCCTTCCCGGGCGAAAAAGTTCGAAAAGGAGGGGAGGTTTATGGAGAGGGGGGGATCTATGGAGAGGGGAAAGGGGGGTCGAAAGAAGGGGGAGTCCTACGAGGGAGAATCGCGGACAAGTTGTCAGCGAAGCTGTTAATGAGCTGCGTGTGTTGAGTGAAGACGTGATGGATCTACACTGCCGAGCTCCACTTGTGGAGGCCTAAATCCTAAGTAATCCCCAGGTTCTTCAAGATCAGGCGAAATCAAAACAAGTTCTGAGATTCGAAATGGAAAGGAACGAAAAAGAGCTCAGCTACTTGCGAGAATTTGTAAAACTATACACATTAATGTATAAAATTTTAACAAGCTCTGTTCTAAAATTGGAATTTTAAATGTTTTAATCACTTGTTGGTCTCAATTGGTCAAATTATACAATCTAAAAGGGTAATCTTAGTTCACCTGCGCTGCACCCCAAAAAAAATTTTTAAAACTGGCATCTAGTAAATTTACTGGCTTTAGAACAAAAACATTGGATGCAATTCTTAAGATATTTTGCCCTCAAGTTCATAGATGCAGTTTGTGGTTACCTATCCTCCAAACTACCAAACCTTTAAAAAACTTCAATACACGAGGTTAAAAAAATAAACTGACGCCTAAAAAAAAAATTTTTTAAATCCTATAAAGTAGGTGGGTCGAATTTCATACAGTCAAAAATATTACTTCTGCCCACCAGTTTACCCATAATTAACCGTCAAAACGACCGTAAATATCCAAATTTGGTGAGAGTATAGTAAACAGAGTGTAGTAAACATTGCAATTTGCGCACGAGCAGTCAAAACAGAGGGAGCTGCGACAACAACTAGATGATGGGGATCAGGAGCGGAGCAAAGTTCTCTGGCACACAACATGTGTTGACCCCCCTGTCCATTGTGCCTCCACCCAGAAAGACAGTGGCAACAAACCAACCAACGATCATTTGTGGCGTTTAATAGCTTGCCTCAGCAGCTTGCCGCACTCGCGTGCAACATCCATAAGTGGGAATCGAGCGTGGGAAACCCGCACTCGCCGCAATCTCAAAAGCCATTTGAAAAGCCCAGCCCTCTGCAGAAATATCAACAACAACAATGCAACTGAGACACTTCAGCTGCCGCTGAAGCCACTGCAATAAAGTCAAATAAACAGAGCGACCAGAACCAGATTCCCTCCGGCTCCAGTTCAAATTGTATAATAGTCAAGTGAACGCAGAAAATAAAATGATTATCAAGTTCATAGCTTTTTAAATTTATATATTCTACTAAACTCTTTTCTAATGGCTTTAAACAAGTCCTAAATGCATCAATAAAAATTTAGTATAAATCATGATCGTTTTAAATTCCCTTACAGAGGGTTTTAAAAATTCAGTCAGAAGTTTGCAAGGCAGTGGAGCAGACATTTCTGATCGCATAAAGTATATATTCTTGATCAGCATCACCATATGAACAGTCAGTGAAAATATTGAAAATTAATAGTTAGTTAATTAATTTGGGATGACTGCAAGGGTATAAAAGCTTGTTTTTAACATTTTTTACAAGTGCAAATTAAAGTTTTGTAATAACTTTGTGAGTGTACGTGTGGCTTGTTGGATATCGCCAATTTTCCTTATGCAATTGACCACCCAAGTACCATCTCTTCTTATTCCAAGTCATAGGCAAAATGAGTAAGCGAAAACCGGAAACCAATTTTGCCATCGTCACTTTTCCTCAATGAAGCAAGCATGTGCAAAAGTTTACTGGGTTGACTTCGCTGCTTTGGTCGCAGAAGCTGCAAGAAATCGGAGAAGCTAAGTGCAAAATTAAATAATTAAGTGCATGACGACTATTGAATACCTCGCTGCACTTGATATGTATAAAGCATTCGCCGGAGAAAGAAAAAAATACATATGGTTTTATATTATCATAAAGTCATAAAATTCAATAAATAAATAACTATTTTACTTTAACATAAATACAATTTTTAACTAAATCTTCTTATTATTTTCATGCCAAAAACAATATACCCTGAACTCCACTGCCGAGGGAATGTCAAAGCTGAAGCTGCTCTATCTTGCAGATCCATTCAGTCGCTCAAGACCCGGCTTACTATTTGGAGGCAAGGAATCCGACTTACGATGTCAAGTCTCAGGGATCAGGAGTGCCAAGGCCTGAAGGAGGGAGCCATGTCGCGGACTTATCAGTATCGCAAAGTGATGAAACCTCTGCTGGAGAGAAAGAGAAGGGCGCGAATCAACCGCTGCCTGGAGGAGCTGAAGAACCTGCTCAAGGAGATGACCTACATGGTGAGTGAACCTTATTAACATTAAAAAAGATTACGACAAGTGCTTACATATTTAAAATTTAATGTTTTTTGAGTTTTAAATTGTTTTAGTATTTTAATTCTTTAAAAGTCTGTTTAACGGGAAAACCAGCAGTTTGGCAGTGCACTTTAATTTACATCTTTTCATGGATCCTGTTAAATAAATGAGGCCTTTATAGGCCTTTTAAATTAAAATCTTATTTTAAATACACAGAATGCCATTGATTCTCTTGCTGAGTTGAAACGAGATACAATTGGATACAAATAATACTTTCACTCTAACTTTTCCAGGACGCCGAGGCCTTGGCCAAACTAGAGAAAGCAGACATCCTGGAATTGACCGTTCACCAACTGCACAGACAGCGCAATATCGCCGCCACGCCCATCTCATCACCCGCCCCCAAAACCATCGAGTTGCGAATGAGCGTTATTGGTCTGGTTTTCAACAGTGTACATTAGAAGTTTCCCGATTTTTGCATCGCAACGATTGTTTAATCAACTCCAGATTCCTTGAGGGAATGGAGCAGTTTGTGCCATCCAAACGTCGAGTATGGAGACCTTGGTAACCTTCCTAAATAATATCCACCAAAGTGTCTTACCTCTTTATTAACTATTTTAATAACACTTACTTAGATCTAGTTTAAGGTTCCATTCAAACAATAGAATATAAAACATCATTGTAAACTTCCAAGTGATTAAAAATCAGTAACGAAATTAAATAAAACTGCAATTTGATTTCTTTTGCTTTTAGTTTTTCTTTTTCTTTTCGCGATAATTCCAAAAACTTGTTAGTTGTGTGTGTGTGAGTGTGTGTAGAATGTGTTGTGTATGAATGAGAGTTTCCACTTGGGATTTGGTTTTTGTTTTGGTTTTGTTTTCGTTTCGAATTGATTTAATTGTTAATAAACATTGCTTAATGCATTCGAATGCTAAATTAAGTATTGCTTATGTTGAATATAATGCACACAAAGTAAGGTTTTCATCTGTTATCAGTATCGTTAACGTTATCAATGTAGTAGCTTACTAGATACCCAAAAAAATACATATCAATAGAGTAGTCGACAAAAGGTGTTTTTGAGATTATCTTTAGGCTTCCTATAGGCTTTTATAGCAATACGTGTGTGTATGTGTGTGTGTGTGTAAGTGTTTTTGTGGCCGTGAGTATGGCATTTTCTTAGATCCTAGATTGGATTTTCCGTTAACGTTCTCAAACTTTCCGCCGTTGTATGTACAATATACATATATGTAGTTCACAATAATTCAAAGTTTGAGTGTAAGAAGCGCGAAAATTGATTGTTGCTGCAGTTTGTTTTAGTTTTGGTTTTCCATCGACCTGTTGATTTGTATCTGTTGCATATATGTATAGGTATATTCATAGTTTCGTATATATATATAGATATCGATATCTTCTCAGCTTCGCTTGATTTATTTCTTGTTTTCGGTTTGGTTTTTGCTTAAGTTTTTTGTTTTTGGATTTTTTCGAGGACAGGAAGGCATGCAAACTTGTGCAGTGTAAGTGTGTGTGTCTTCTTAAATTCAAATCGTTTCCAACAATAAATCTATGCAAAAACAATTTGCAAATTGCACAAGTAAAATACAAATGGGGACTTCTATTTAATAATAGATGTATATATAATTATCAATATCTGTGTGTATATATATATGTATATATATATTTCTCTCCCTATATATATATATAAGTGTGTATATCAATTTATTTGGCCTTTATCTAGGTTTATTTAAATACGAGTGTACAACTAGAAATATGAATCGGGTGCTGGGCAATCAAAAAAATATGGTGGAAACCTCGGAATCGGATTTGGAATCGGAATCGGAATATCGGTGTCAGAGAGGATGAAACAAGCATTATCTAGGGCCGATCCAATCTGAAACCTCAGCGGCAAAGCAAAAGTCTTTGGTTAGCATATCGATTACGATAAGGTTTTAGGATTTCTAAGCGAAAAGCGGAATTTTAAGCCAAACTTAGGGAGTTCTCTACAAGGCAACATTATAAATAGGAGTAAAAATGTATGAGGGCAAAGGATAGATAGGATTAATAGGATGTGGATTCTTATAAAGATGTTCAGTTAACGGGCTACGGAGAAAGTTCCTTTACAATAACGCTTTGTTTACGACCTAAAGCTGAACCACATATAAAATATAGAAATTATTTTAGCATGGTGATTAGATGGCTCTTCCTTTAAAAACAGAAGAGGAAGCAGCTCATCAAACAAAAAAAGTTAACAAAAAAGAAAGTCATGTGTGTGTATCAGAGAGAGATGGAGCGATAGAGAGAGAGAGAGTCGATGATGGAAGGCGATAGTTTCGGTTTGTTTTCATAATATTTTTTTTTGTTTTGTTAAGGCAGGGGGTTTGCCCCCCTATACGATATAATTTCAAGCTCTGGTGAGGTGTAAAAACAAGTACAAATACGAGTAGAAACACACAATTTGATATTATCCTTGCTGTGGTAAGGCATGCACAATAAACACATAGAAAAGGATTAAAGTTTTATCAAAGATTCTTCTAGGAGTGCCTCCTCTTGTCCTCAATGAATGTGATCGCATGATATCGTATCTCAAGATGTATTTGTGAGGGGAACCATTCGATGGTCCACAGCAAAATCAGGTTGATTGTCAAGCTCAATGAGTGGAGACTAATGAATGAATGGCTGGATGAAGACTGAAGAATCGGAGGTTCCAAGAGGAGTACTTAAGCCGCATGCTAATTATCGCTATATTATCCACATGCAAGTGTGTCCACAACTTTTTTATCCTTTTTTTTGGGGACTTTCAGTTAACAAAGTCGGTTATCTGGTTTAGCTACGGAGTAAATAGGTATGTGTGGGGCTTTAGCTTAGTTTTAGCTTCAATTTCGATTATCAACACGTTCGATTATCAACAGTTGGAGCAGCTGGACTGGCAAAAACAGAAAAAAAAATTAACCAATCGAGGGGCTTTTAAGCCAATAGCGAATTAGTTTAAGTATCGGTATATACTTTTAAGTATTTAAGTGCCAGCTTAGTCCTGTGCGGCACTATATATATCCATATTTAGGTAGAGTAGCTATAGCTTCACTTGATTCTGATTCTGTTTCTGATTTTTGTTTTCGCATTTTCGCAAAAAAATTCCAACTATTTATCGGCCTAATTAATCGGCTATCGCTTGGCTGGCGGCACTTATCGATAGTTTTCGGTTTGAATTTATCGTTTGCTTGGCAAGCATTTCAATAAAAATGCATAAGATCATTACGGAGCAAGTGTCTAATAGTTAATTTACTTATGTTTTTTTATTATTCAATACCTAGTTTATCGATTCTTGCTGCACACACAAATATATATATATTCAATATGATTTTTTTTTTTTAGAAAAGCGCCTCTTTGACTTAAATTGGTGTTCTTTTGTTTTCAATTAGCTTGTGAATTTTTATAACAATTTTGTTTCATTTCTTATTTTTTTTCTATTTTGGTTTAGCTTTATGCGGCTTGGCTGTTGTTAATTGAAATATTATGTATATATGCGTATATAATTTGCTATTAGTTGGAATTTCACTTAAGACGAGTTCTCAAGGGACTAAACATTGTGTGTGTGTGTGTGTGAATGTGCGTGTGTGTGTAAAGGGGGGAGGGGGAGGTCTTGGGGGCTAACAAACTGCCCCCGCAAAAAGGTCAAATGACATATGGTACACGGTTGTGTGTGTGTGTGTGTGTGTTCGAGTGTTTGTGTTTGTGGGCGTGCTTGTGGAGCGACCTTTGACCCTGCTGATCGCTGATTCGTTGTCTCCTATCACCGTCACTATCGCTCCCTCCCCGCCCCTCCGCCGCTTGACTACAGGTCCCGCGGTTAATCACCACCTAAACTTAACGCCTGCACTATACGTGGATCAGCTTTACTGCCCTCGCGGAACTCCTCGAGTGTCAATCGATCGTCGTGGTTCTTGTCCATCTGGTCGAAGATCTTGTCCACCCGCTTCTGCGGCGTATTCTCGTCCTCCGTCTGCGGCTGCTGGCCCTGCAAGCGAGTGATCACTGTAGTAACATATTTTGGACGGGGAGTGGGGTTGCTATTTGAAACGATACTTACTACCATCTGGTAAATGGCGTCCACTATGTTGTACATCTCCTCGCGGGTTATGTAGCCATCGTTGTCCACGTCGTACAAACGGAAGGCCCCTGCGAAATTTTAAACAAAATATTAATATTGTTAAAAAAAAATAATATCAACATATTGCAATAAAATATGTTTCTTAATAGGTAACTCTCATGTTTGAATGCAAACCACAAATATCCACAAAACTCATTCTCGAAAGCGCTTAATGGCTTCCTGAGTGTTATAAATATACACACTTTCTTGGCTGATACTCAAGAGTCCTTCAAGCAATTACTTGAATAAAACACTCCTGGCTCACACTCCATATCTATAAATTGATGTACACAGTCTGCAAAGCTAATGCAGGAAAGTCCTTCAGTATCCCAGTTAACTTACAGTGCAGCTTCTCGTCCAGATTCCCCCTCGATGTGATGGACAGGGCCCGAATGAACTCCTCGAACTCGATGGCGCCGTCCTGCAGGAACGCAAGGATATTGAAGGGATTGAAAGGATATAAAATCGGTACTCACATTATTCTCGTCGAAGACACGAAAGACCAGGGAGGCAAATTTGCTGGGGTCTCCGTCGGGGAAGAATTGCTTATAGATTTTGATGAAGCCCTGCGGGAAAGAGAGAGCGAGAGGGCACCCAGAAAACAAAGGGAGAGGGCGAGAGGGAGAGAGAGAGAGAGATAGAGAGAGGGATGGGTAGATGTGAGAGGAGAGCGGTTAGACAAGTAAATGTTTGCTATTTTCCCATCGACTGGGCTTCAGTGGAGTTGAGTAAGCAAGTCAGAACTAGACACATAAAATAGCATTAGAGTGAAAATTTCGAAATTCTCCAGTTAAGTGAAATAAACGACTCGCACGGAGATGTTTCGGGGATGGCTGGTCTTTCAATAAGGTATCCTTTCTCACAAGCATATACGCTAGTATTGGTGTAAGTGTGAATGCAAGTGTTAGTGTTTGTGTTGTGTGTAAGCTTGGCAAACGGAAATTTATGGACGAGTCCTCCTTATTGGGAAGGAGAATGCAGCTTCAGTTTATTTGCCATCGCTGCAGCTGTGAAAATCGAAATAGTTGAGAATGTCAAATCAATGAATGGATTACCCCGCCTGCGGGGTCGAAGGTCCTTACATTGGACACATGTACGGCACAACTTGTATTTATTTTATCCTGCCACAAAAGTCAGCCACAAAAAAGCAACGAACATTTGAAAATAAGGACAAACCGCATTTCAGGATTTCGGCTTAAGTACAAATGTGTGTAAAATATATTCACATACTACTATATACTCTATATAGTATAATTGTGCTTGGCTGGAGTGAGCCGAAATAAGAGGATTCCGTTTGCGGTCGGTTATGATGAAAGCCAGGTAAATGATGGTAATGGTGATGGCATTAAGGACGTGGTACTCACTTGTTCGGTCAGCAAGCCATTCGGACAGTCTTTGAGAAAGCCCTTGTGCCTTCGGCGGGTCAGAGGTCAGAGATCAAATCGAATCGGATCGAATCGGGATAGCGGATAGCATAGCACACAGAGTTCACAGAAAGAGACAGCGGGGTTTTATAGAGAGATAAATAGATTAGCATAAAAGAGGGAGAGAGAGAGAGAGAAAGGGAGAGTGAGACAGGGATAGCCAGATAGCCAGATAGGACCAGAAATAATATATATAGATAAGAAATTAAATTAAAAACCAATAATTGCGGGAGCGCACAACAAATGAAAGGCAAATATTGACCCGGTGGAAATGTTTACCTCCGGGAAAACTCGCTTTCCCTCACGACGCACACGAACACGCGCTTTTGCATTTTAAATTCTATTTACATTTTATTTCGTGCTGCCATTAATTTGAACTTTCCCCCGTGCAACCGCAGACAGCAAGATCAAATTTGCTGCAATTCCGCCATTAATTATACGCAACGAATCGAATCGCGAGGGAAAATTAAAATGGGGAAAAATAACCGGACAAATGTGAAACGAAAAAAATAATTTAAAAAAAAAGAGTAGCAAGCTAGAGGGTTTTTCGGTGTGGGAAATCCATGGGAATGCTTACCATTGACGAATCTCCTTTTCGGTGACTGCAAAGAGAGAGAGAGAGAGAAGAGAAAGAGAGAGAGGGGAAAAGCGGAAAAGTTCCGGATTAGTGGGGCAATTGCAAAGGGAAAAAACAAGGCAGCTGGCTAAGCGGTCGCACTTAGTTGCGCCTCAAGGGTCCCGGGGCTATCATTCTTAATATCAACAGCGAACCACCCCCCCACCCCCAATCCAAACCAACACCCCGCTATCAATTCCCCATCGCCGAACGAAAGAAGGAAGGATGAAGCGAAGGAAGGCGTCCTGAAGGCATCCCATGCCATTGGTAACCAACTCATACCAACTCATACCATTCCACTTAGCCGACACTCAAGTGCCTTTGCTGAGCCGCTGAGTTATGGCGGCTTAAGTTGGCCTAAGGCTAGACTGCCCTTGGAGATTGATGGCGTTCACTTGACAGGCTTAGCGGACAAGTTCCCCCTGCCTGAATCCTCCTATCCTATGCCATTCGTATCCTTCATATCTGCGCTTTTGCTGATGCTGCTGATATCCGCGACACGCTGCGTATGAGTAATATGCAGGCACAATTTACGAGCAGGCAGGCAGCCAGCCATTTGGGTAGTGCATCAGCCATGGCGAGTGCACAACTCATTTAATAAATCATTTAATTAATTACAAGCTTTCAGGGTTACCTCTACACGGCGCAAAATGCACAAGAGTTATGCGCCACTATCTGGGAAGGCTATAACTTTCGCAGAACTATTTCGTAATCTAAACTGCACGGCCATAACATCAAGGCTCTTAGCAGTTTGAATTATTGGGCACAATGGATGGCAAAACTAAAACATCAATAGTTCGATTGTGGGTGAGAGGTAATTTAATGCTTATTTAAAAGGGTATCCATTATTTTGAAACTTTATGTAAGCCAATAAAACAGAGTAGTTACCTCCCATATAAAAAAGTAACTATTTTGTTATTTCTGTTTAATGGAATATTCCTATGATAATACAGCAATACATTGTAATTTCAAAATAAATGAAAATAAAGTTATTTGTTCAAATTAGAAGGGCCAAAAAATAACATCAAATTATTTTATTAAATCAGCAAACACATTAAAATGTACATTAAATGCAGGAATGCCTTTATTAAGCAATTCCCTTTTATTTTGTAATTATTTTTGGTATTTTAATAGCTCCGACTCCACATATGATTACATTTCCTCCCTTTGACTTTCTTTTTGGCCCTGAATTACAGCAGACTTTTGGGCATATGTACAAACGCTTGTGAGCGTGGCAAGGTGGGCCAAAAAGCACTTTCAAAATGAAAAACAAAACGGGACAAAGCCGCTGACGATGATGGAGATGTGCAAACATGGCTCTTGATAAAAGTGGCAGTGGGCAGTGGCAATTCGAGAGGTAGACCTCTCATTTCTATTTTATTTTTATTTTTTTCATTTTCATTTCCATTTTTTCTTTTTTTTTTTGTTTGCCGGCGCCAAGCTTTGCGTTAGCTGCACGCAATTGAAATTGGCCACGGCCTAGGCCCATAACACATACCATACTATGCTGTACTATAATATATATGCGTGTGTATCTGAATAACCCACAGATTGCCCGGCAGGCTTGTTAAAAGTCTGCGCACGCCAACGCGTCGGCTAAGTAAGCTCCAAGGAGCGTTATCCTTGTAGGCCGACGACTTTTACTGCGGCTACATGAATAATACATATCGCCGCTTCATGCTCTTTCTGTATGTGTATATGTGCTTGTGTATGTGTATCTGTTTGTTACTTTGACTGTGTTTGTGCTTGTGTTTGTGTAGCGCCGGCAGCTGTAAAGCAAATTAGTACATAGTCCTGCTTGCCGGGATCCCAACGCTGGTGAAAATTATTTCGATTTAAATGTTTATTTGCACAAGGCGGCGTTTTCCCCGCTTTCCCATTTTATTTTTTTTCTTTTTTGCTTTTCCCAGCAAGCTGTTTGTGGCCCGCAGCGTTTATTCAATTCTTTTTTTGTTCGTTTGCATTTTTTGCAGCCGCACAAAAAGATCCCAAAATACCGCCAGTTTGGCCTTTTTGTATTTACTTAATTTAATTTTAAACTGATTTAATTTCAACTTTTCGCACACACTCGCACATTCAGCGCGGTGGTTACGAATGTGATGGTGGTGGTGACACAGCAAAGGACCTCCCGCTGGGTGTGGCCACATGCTAATTAATGAATGACTGGCAAAGGCCCCGCCCCTTTTCCCCCTTTGCCCCCTGACCCCTTTTAATGCTGCCGCCGCTCGTCGCAAACAAAAAAAAAAAAAAGAAGAAAAGTGGGAAAACGAGAAGCGAACTTTAAATGAGCTGCGAGCTGCATGCGGGCCACACACACACATGCAAACATAAACTCACACACACACACACTAACGCACTCCCTCACAGACAGAGAGGCACAAGGACTGTGCGTGTTTTTTGGCCACCAAACTCAGCAACCTTGCAACGGAGCTCCGCAAGGATGTGCGTCGGTCGCCAACTCGGCTCAAATATTTACCAAACTTGATTAGATCCCAGCGATTCCGAGGCGGGGCAACAAGTGACCTCGCTTTTCCGCCACCCCTTCCCCCTTTTTGGTTCCCCCGCTCTTGGTTTTTCCCACTCGGGCTTAACCCTGAGCACAGCCACATCGCATGTCTGCGGTTAACCCCTTGATGGCCTTGCACGCAACTGAAACGCAACGCAACCGCTCACCTGTGGGCGGTGTTCCTCCCCCTTCCCCTCCCCCTTCCCTTTCCCCTACCTTTTTCCCATTGTCCCCCCACTTACAAATACACACACACACACACACAACACACCCTCATCTCGGGCAAATTGGCCTGGCAACTGGTATACAGCCAGCGGAGCTGATCCTATCTGAAATTGGTCCTCGGCACACGGCTCGCTTGCCAGGTCCATTCACCCACTAATTAATCACGATCCTATCTAAAATTAGTTCCACTCAATTTTAGAAGGCAGAGCAAACAAGAACTAGTCCTTTCCTAATTGTTTATAAAGAAACTACAATAACAAAGTTATTGTTTAAAACTGTTCATATTTATAAATAAATTAAAAATTTAAAAAAAATAGTTTTATAATTTTGGAACGTTTGTTTCTGATAAGTCTGAAAAAATTATAGGAACTACTAACATTTATATTTATGTAATCATAAAACTTTCAAGTTTTTTGTGATCTGACATATGGAATGTTTATCGAATTTTTATGACATTTTTTATTTACTATAAATTAATCTTATAAATGATAGATCTAAACAATTTGTTTTCCTTTAAATTAACTTAAATAAAGCAATTCGGTTAGTTGAATCCTAAAAAAATTACTTAAAATTTTGCACCTACGTTGTTTAATTGAATTTCGTTGTTTTGAAAATGCACGTGCTCCACAAAACTATTCGAATTTCTAAACGAAACTAGAAGAAAACTTCTTGGTCTCAAAGTTTTCGGAGCAGCACTTCAGTTATATGCAGAACCCCTTGATGTTCTTGGCTTGTTGGTTAGTTGGCTCTTTGGCTCTTTGGCAATAATTGTTTGCTGCAATGCGAACCGATCAAATGGCATATTAACAGTGCAGTTGCCATTGATTCGATTTCCAGCCGTGATTGAGTTTGCCTTTCCCCTTTCCCCATTTACCATTCACCATTTACCATTCCCCCATTCATTGTTCATGTTATGCTAAAACGTCGCTGGCAGCTGAAGTTGACTCAAAGCACATCATAATTTCCCATCGATTGGCAATTTTCTAATGTCGTTATATGACGATACGGCCAGTTTTCCCCCCCGCCGTTTCCCTGGCGAATCGCTTTCTGTTTGTTGCTTTATCAATTTGCGTCTATAAACGAGCAGCAGCCAGGGAATGCCAGCACCAGAATCGAACAGAATCGAACAGAGTTTTACCAGAACCGAACCGAACGGAACGGAGCTGAATCGACAAGCTGAGTCAATGAATGGACGACTGCGGCAAAAGGCGGCGGTCTGGATGAAAAAGGGGTGAGGGAAAGGGGGCAAAGGGTTGATGGAGAGAGGGGGTTGGAGAGGGAGGCCCACTGCTGGCGCCATTAGCAAATTATACACAACATGTGTGCTCAGTGGGGCAGGACTGCAAGGACCAGCAAGCCGGGAAATGGAGACCCAGCCTCCTCCCAGTTGCTCAAACCTTCGATCGTCTTCTGATTTCCTTACTTACACCTAGCGAAATTTGAAAAAAAAAATATATTCATTAAACACTCTAAGGAAAATAAAAGTGTTAGTTCCACCATTATATTTATTTTACAAATAAACTGGTATACATCAGCCTTAGACATTAATAAATGGTTATTGTATTTGAATTAATTGCCTTCTTGCATAAGCAACACTGTTTTCATTAAACCCAGACACATATTGCAATTAATTACTTTTTTTATTAAAATTAAATTACTTTTATTATAAAAGTCTTTTATAGAATTCAAATGTACAAAGAATCTTCAGCATATTATAAGCAAGTTAAATATATTTAGTCAAATATTTATACCAGAAATTACTTGGTTATACTCAATCACAAGCAGTTCCAATTGGCTAATTAACAAATTAAAAGACAGTTAGCTGACCTCCACTTTATAATCAAAATAAAATAAGTGCAAATCTACGAACAGTCAACACATACTGTTTTAATCGCTAAATCATATATCAGTACCTCTTTTCTCTCAGTGCAGCGCCTGCTTGTCTCCGGCTGTTCCGTTCTGTTCTGTTCAGTGTTGTTCTGCTTTGCTTGTTGCTTGTACACATTTGATTTCCACAGCTAAATGCCAGACAGAATGTCAGGACAAGCTGAGTGCTCCCTTAACCAGCCGCCCATGCAGCTCCACCCAGGCATACACATGCACCCACCCACACACACACACATGTGGATGGGGGAGAGGAGGGGAGGGGGGAGGGATAACACAACAAGTGCAATAATAATTTCAACATTGAAGTGAATTTTGAGTGCCAGCCAATGCGTGCGAAATCAGCTGGGAGGAGCCATCACAGGCGGATGAAAATGTGGATTGGTGAGGGGATAAAAAAGGGAGGAGGGGAAGCTACAGTGGGTGTAACAGGACATAGCATCTTTTCGCAATCCTCGACAGTCCCTGTCCTGTCTGTTTGCATAGCGAAATGCATGTGCCAAAGCCAAATGAATGCGGTTCCGAATGCTATTGCAATATGACATTGCTGCATTGCTGCTGTGTGTCGTAAGCCATGGGTGTGGGTTGAATAAGGTTCAAGGGGCCAGGGCGATCGCTGGTCCCTTGGCAAGGGTCGTGCATTTTAGTTTTATAAGCGATTTGGCCCCAAGCCCCGCCATACCGTCATAGCATACCATTCTGCGACTGTTTGTCGAAGCGTAAAACAAACAGAAATTGACATGAAAGCCATGCATGCTGTGTGGGGAATAAAAAAAGGGGGGGTGGAGAAGAAAGGGGTGGCGAAGAAGGTGATGCAGAGGGGGTGAGTAAGGGGGGTACATAAAAAATAGGGTGCAGGAAGCCATGTGGCGAGTCGAGGGGCGGCAAAAAGTAATCAAATGTTGCACACATTTCCACTTGTTATTCTTTCGCCCTCCGTCCACTGAGCTGTTGCACTCTAATGCGTCCTTATTGGGTTGCATGCCCCTCTTTTTATTACACACCCCTCTTAATATAAAATTTTATGACAGGGTGATAAAAATAAGAAGCATTTTTTTAGCCTCGACTATTAGACATCCCGTAATCTGAATAACAGTCTTCCACAAATACATCAAAAGAGCTTTCATAGAAAAGTGGGCGTGGCAAATTTGCTAATTCAACTTGCGCTACTTAGGCATCATAACTTGTTTAATTCGAGTACTTAAGTCCATTAATTTTCTAACACCTTCATACATATACTAATATCTATATTTAGAACTGCTTCCATGAAAATGTATTAAAATCTTCAATGAATACAGCACACTCTTTAATGCGTTTAACATATTAAGACACCATCAAGGAATTAATTGAGAATTTTCAAGGACACCATTTTCAAAAACCAAAATTAACAACCAGGTATTTTACAAATTTTTAAATTAACCTAATTAGCTAATTATAAAGCTTACTTCATCAATCACCAGGTTGGTGATTATTTTCCGTGTGCCTAATACAACCACAATGAATTAAGACTTGTGAAGCTAATAAATTCCGCTAATAAGCTCATTAGTCCACCGAATTTCAAGCTAATGAATGAGCCGTATAATTGACAGACTCATGCTAGCATTTTGTACACTAAAACCGCACTAATGAACCACCTAACAAAAAACAATGCCCCTCAATTTATACTGCCATTAAATGCAGGCTCAAACCGACCGCTAATCTGAAACTAAGCCATTCAATGAAAACTCGAATACTATGAAAATGCCATAAAACTGTTTTAAAGGCGCCATATAACTTTGAACTCACATATGGTGGTGGTATAAAAAAAAAAGAAAACAAGAAAAAAGAGAAGGATAAAAGAAATGCGGCAAAAGTATTGCCTACTTATGGGCGCACTCGAGGCAATAAACAATAAAAGAAAAACTCTTAAAGCCGGGCGCTTAAACTGCAATCGAAACGCAATGGGCCAATGGAGGAGTCTCCAATAGAGGAGCCTCCAATGGAGGAGCAACCGATGGAGGAGCCTTCGGTTGAAAACGAGGTGGTTTGCAGACGAACATAGTTGTTGTCCCCTCAGGGCGTTCATGGCATGTGCAACTATTAGAAAATATAAAACTGTGAGCTCCGTCGTTTGGTGGCGCACACGTATGTGTGTTATAGTGTGTGTTTGCATGTAAGGATGTCCAGGAGAAATTACATAAAAAATTAAATGGAACACAAGCCTTGGGGGGCCATCAGGGTGCGGAATCGAAAAGTGTTCGACTGCCGAGTCCACTCGAAGTGGGGCCAACCAATTTCGCTACATTTTGTGGCAGCTAAACAAATTAGAGAGCTCACAGTTTCAACTGTGACATCTTAAGGCGGGGTATTTACTTTTCCCCCTTGAAATCGGTGATGTTCCAATGACAACTGAATTTGTATTTAATTGAACTGTGAACTTTATAATAGAGGCATTATAAATGGGTTTTTGACAAAGATGTTTCCTCACTTGGCAGGTAAACCAGTTTTGTGTTTTGTGGTTTTGTGTTTGCATAGGTATTATTTTATTGTTACAAATTATCAGAATTTTGAAAACGTTTATTTTTAGAACAATAAAATCTAAAAATTTAAATATTAGGAATTACGCTTTCTAATATTCTTTTTCCTGAATAAAAAAAATAACTCAAGAAAATGATAAAGGGTTGTACCTTTTATTTAATACAATTTTAAATTGATCACTCGAAATATACCCTTATTAATTTGATTTCAAAGAGTATTATTAGTCAGCTTAAATATTCCCCTGCATTTTTTCCCAAAAAACTATACAAATTTTGCTCATCCTTGGACAACTAAAGTAGGCTTGAGAATGCTGTCCAAGCACGGCTAAGTGAAATGGAATTTGCTGAGCAAATCCCAGAAATAATGAATGGCCGTTTGCGGGTAGAATGAGCAGTTTCAAAAGGATTGCCGGGATTCCCGAGAGCTGCGAGAGCTGCGAAAACCCCTCCCCTGATATATAGTTTGATGGTGGCTTTTGGGAGCATGGCGACATTACCGTAGCTGCCAAAAAGGCTTTCAGGCAACGCCGCCGGACAAGCCGTAACTCATTCCCGGGGAGTTCAAGGCTGCCAGCAACGCAACGAATGGCCAAAGCGAGCGAACAGACCAACAGACCAACAGGCAAACAGACCCAATATCTGTGATTTGTGGCCGGCATACGCACCGTGCGGAGATATATGGCAGATGGAGATGTACTCACAGTATGTGTCTGTTGTCAGCCGATCGATGGTGTCCTGCTTCAATTTCGAGTTCTTCTTGCCCATGGCGAAGGCTCCTGTTGATGACGATGCTCGCTCCTCCTTCCCGCTTCCTTCGCTTGGATTTTCCTACGCTCGCTGGACTGACTGGCCAAGTGGTTCAGTGACAGGTGATTGGGGGAGCGTGTCTTATCCCGATTCGGCCTCAGTTCGATCTGCAAGTACAAGTGGCAGCAGATTAAAGATAGTCATCCCCAAAAAAAAAAAAACAAAAAACGGGCAACTGCTAACTGCAAACTGGAAACGAGGAACTACAAACTGCAAACTGCAAACTGCAAACTGCACCTGCCATCCGTTGACGAGCCGTTGGCCCCTAGAGGCGAAGGGTACTTTGATATTTAAGCACGTCAACGCTGGCTTTTTGTGTGTGGGCAAGGAAAAACAACCAACCCCACCCACTACAGTCACCCGAACCCCCTTCCAAACATCCATCCATCCATCCACCCATCCATCCATCCATCCATCCATCCACCTCGAACATCACCGAAAACAAGGCAAAGAACAACCGCAACGACAACAGCAGCCGCAGCACAATGAGGGGGTGGCAAGTTGTCCTTCAGGTCCTTTAGGTCCCTTTACTACCTCTTATTTCTGCAACCCTCTCCTCCACCATTTTAGCCCTCTTTACCCCTCTTTACACCCTCTTTCAGCCCCTCCTTGGCCATCAGTCAGTGCGTCATTCAACTCAACTAAACTCAGCTGAGCCGAAACTTACGGCATAGGCTGGCTTTATCGGTGGAAGCGTCCCACAGTTTTTGGGCAATTTCAACCGAATTCTGAATTCCGAATTCCGCATTTCCATACCCCGAAATAGCACTTCATTTTGGCAATATTGTTTCCCCACACAAAATGCTATATCCGCAATTTATTCTGAATGGTCACCTAACTAAATAGGGTTTCGTTCGAGGAAATGCGAGGAAATCTTATAACCATGCATATTTCCACAACACAAATTATGAATAAGAATAGAGCAAACAGTTTATAATATTAAGTTAAGCAGTTATTGCTATTTAATCTGTTTAAAATATAGTTACTCAAAATTTTTTAAGGTACAGAAATAAAATACATAGGAGAGAATACTTTGTATGCAATTTGTATACTTTAAAATAGAAGAAATACAGAAAATATTTAATTATTAAACTCATAACCCTAAAAGTGAAGTACAATATCATAGAAGCAAAGTTTTTACATTTCCGCTTTTAAAAACATAATGAAGACCTTTCATTGTGAAAAGGTTCACGTTTTATTCAAGTACATAGTCATCGTGGGCAGTTATTCTTAAATAAATAAATGTGTGCAGTCAGAAAAATTGTGCCTTAAGAAACCACAATTTGACACTATAATATATAAAATTAAAAAAATTAACATTCAATAGCTCAGATTATATTATATCAATAAATGTTTATATTGTAATGTTTATTAAAGATTTTAATCGAATTAAAATGACCACGTTTTAATTCGCCAACTTAATTGCAGTGCATTGGTCGTTCGTCCTTAAAAAGGAGGCAGAAAACCTGCTGTTTGCTTCACCTCTGCAGTTTTGTGTAGCGCCAACCATGACGACAATGGCAGCGACGACAGAGCGATGTCTACAAGTTTTCCCCGTAGAGTTGCGTAATTAAAATTTTAATAATTTCCCAGGCAAGTTCGCAACCTCCTCACTTCCTCTTTTAAAGCAGCCAAGTGAAGGAGGATGGGGAAAGTTTTTTAATTCTTTGTTGCCACTTGACAAGCGAATTGCGTGAGACTTTAATTGACTTTGAATTGGCAATGAAAGGAAAAGCCCCTTCACGTGTGTGCCATAATAACAATTTATGGGCCCAAACAACCGAGGTCGTAATTAGGCGCTGAGTCCGCGAAGAAGAAATCATGACAAATTAGATAGAAACTTGCATAACGCAATCGTAAAAGAAACTGTCTGCCCGTTTTCATATTTCATTTTACGAGTTGCGGACAAATTTTGATGGTCGGTTTTGGCGGAAGCTGACTGGATGGCTGGTTGGTTGGTTGGTTGGTTGGTTGGTTCGCAAAAGAAAACGGCGAGGCAACTTTTGATGGAACCACCGTCCATGGAGCTCCGGCTCCATCTCCAGCCGAAATCCACAGCAAGTCAACGTGTGGACAGACCACAACGACGACGACGACGACGACGACGACAACAATTCTCGACGGATGTGCCCAAAGTTAACTGCTGACAAGGAGAGAAATGGTTGGCAAAAGGAAAGGGGCCTTCGCAGGACGAAGGAGGAAGGACACCCTGGACTGATGTAGCAGAGAGAGAGAGAGAAGGAGGAAAATTAAACAGAGTCTGGAACCCATATAAAATATTGAGCAGAAGCAGCTTGGCAATGCAGCACAATGGAGTTACAGCTGAAACGGAATAAATGGATAAATACGGCTAAGGCAAATGCATATTGCCCTTAAATAAGAGAGAAATATTTTTGGCCAAAAATATTATTAATTCCCACACTAATCTCCTTTTGCGGATGCAAAATGAAAAGTGTAGCCAGTAGAAGGTAATAATTCATCTGCAAACACACCACACACCTGCATTGGTTATTCAAGAAAATGTTTTCGTATAATAAATAAAAAGCAATCAATGGGCACACAAATATTTGCAATCGACAGAAGAGGAAATGAATTAGAAAATAATAAAATGAAAGGCCAATGCATGAATAATCCACAGGACAATGAGGAGCTGTGAAAATTGATTCCTCCCCAAATACTTCCCGTTTAAAGATCATTTGGGGAGACATTTTGGGGCAGTCCCCAGGAAAGTGGCAAAAAAAACGAAACAAAAAAAAAAATAGGAAGCAATTCCAGCTGAAAAGGGCAAATGTTGCCATGGTTCTGGGGATCAGGGGATCTGGGGGTCAGGGGTCAGGGGTCACATTGACGGTGATGCAACGGCCAACGGCGAAGAGCGAGAGACCCACCGACGTGTCCAGTGCCACGTCCACATTCGAGTCCTTTGAGTGTCCTGGCTGTCTGTCTGTCTGTCTGTCCCTTTCCCCCATTTCCCTGCCACATTTTTTGCCCCTTTGCCCCGCGGAACTTGTTTGTGCCACAGGCTCGAGGCGTCTGTCTCGTCCACGTCTTCGTTCTCCCCCCATTTTTTTCTCGCAGTGTCCATGTCTGTGTCTGTCAGAGTCGGAAATTGAAAGGCAAGGAACGCGGAACAGAGCGGAGTGAAGCATACTTTAAGGCGCCTCCGCCTTGGCCTTCTGTCTCAAAGTCATTCGATTCCGATACCCATTACCCCTCCGATTCCGATTCTGATTCCGATTCCTATAACGATTCCCATAACGATTCCTACTCCACCTTTTTGAACGGGGGCATTACGCGATTTCCGGCCAGCTCGAAATGCATTTAGCAACTTTCCAACGCCCAACGAACAACTCATCGCAGAATATTATATAAAATGGCCATCGGCGTTGCCATTGAATTGAGTAATTGCCAAACGACTTGTAAACAAGTTTCGCAAAAGACGGCAACGGTGTCTTTCGCCGTAACGAGTTTTAATGCTAATTTGTTTTGGTATTTTCGCCAGGGCGAAAACGGGGACAAAAGGCGTCCGCTGGCTTTAATTGCTTGGGCAGAGCGAACCAAACTCGATCAAACTTGGGCTAAGTAAATTAGTCAATGCCCAGTAACAGGTCGAACTTCGGAATAAGGAAATAAAGTTGGATGGGTGGAAAGTGGGGGAGGGGAAGGGGAAAGGGAAATGGAAATGGGGGAGGGGTTTTGGCAAGCACGAACTGAATTTCAGAGCCCATAAATTAGGAATACCCCGGTGAATACTCAATTTTCCGGTAGTCCTGCGAAAACTTTGTGCCCCGTCCCGAAATCATAATTTTCAGCCAGTCAGCCAGGCGAAACTTAAACACAGCGATAAGTTGGCTTAATAAATTAGGACCCCAAAAACAATGCCTCAATTTATACGTACCGACTTTACCCTCATTCATTAAAGAGTGTTGACCGCATTGCGAGATGCCTTAATACGAGAATTGGCCTTCTCGAGCAGCAGACACGTCTTGCTTTATTTCGCCTTTTAATGGAATTTTTAAGCAAACAATTATTCACGCCAGCTGGAGTGGAGCGTAGTGCCCCTTTCCTTTTCAAGGAATCAAGGAATTGCAATTTTTGGGCAGCCAGCCAAAGTCTCTGGCGAAAAGTTTTCCCCAACGGGGAGCAAAAAAAAAGAACTAAGGAGGAAGTGGCAGCTTTGCTGTACCAGTTTCTTTTTTTTTGCCAAGTTTCTACTTCTTTTTTTGTGCGTTAGAAATTGCAAATTGTAGCTAAAGAAACTTCAAAAAGTGTCCAGTGATTGTGGTCCTTTGTCAGGTTGATTGAAGATTGATTCGTCAGCTGGCTTAATCTTATCTCGTTGAAGTGGCATTAGCTTCTTTTTCCTTCTCCCCTAGTTGCAAAGTCCTATCCGATGTCCTTGGCAATCCCATTAGTTACCTGAGTACCACCGAATTTCCCTTTTTATCCCACTAATTTCTAGCGAAACTAGCTTTATTTACAGCAGATAAGCTGGCAACCCTAGTTTTCGGCACCCCGAGCTAAAAAGTTTTGCCGGGATCTCATGTGTCTGGGTATTAAGTTGGCCCTGTGAATTATGCAAATGCCGGAGGAGAAAAGCAGAGCTAGAAATTAGTAATAAAAGTTACTTTCGGTCGAAAGGAGCGTAACGGGATAGGACATAAACACACAAATACTAGCACACATACACACACATTAGGTACGAAATACAGCGAAGCCAAGCAATACACACACACACACACGTGAGCGAAATTTACATAACCTCTTTCATTTTGATTTGATTATTTTCATTCAATTTCGTAAGCCACGCGAACAGGCGAAGGCTAGAAAAGTGTGGAGGGGGGAGGAAGGGGGAGGGGATTTGCCAGGGTGTCGGAAAGGCAGGGGCGTGGGTACCCGGGGATTCGGGGGTCTGAATTTCGCTGACGTCGTCTGGCGCGTCAAAGCGCAACAGCGGGATAAAGAAGAAGAATCCGTTGGACAGCAGAGAGCAAAGCTGACTTAACGGCAAACAAAATATTAGACAAGATGGCTAGAAATGCAGGGACTCTAACTGAAATGGTGAACACCCTTTGGATATCTATGGTATACAAATGTTACAAAAAAT